CATTATTGAGATTTTGCAAAATTTTGTTTAGAACCAAACTGCAATCGGATTTTATTACCATTTACATGTATACAAAGTACTACACAATTCACTTCATAATATATGAATAAGGATAGTAAGATTTTTAAATAAATTCATTAATAATAAACGTTTGGTACCTGAAATGTCCTTTAAACCACATAGATCATGCCATTGGTTTAGTAAATAAATATTTCTAGATGTTCGTGTAGCAACCAATAGGTTAATATTTTCAACAAATTAAGTCCTAAACACATGATAAATATATTTATGACGAAAGTACGAAAACTAAACTTAAATTAACACTAAATGAAACTCAAAAACACTATTATAATGGAATATAATCAAAGAACAGTTAAAAAATCACAAATACAAAATCTCGTCCAAAACAAACACATGTAAATAAACATCCTACTTACCTATAGGCATAGATTACTAATGTGAACCTATAGGTGACACTTGACAGGCGCACGAAAATTACTTTGAATCACGAATAGTTCAAATAATACATGCTGCGTTTGAGAATCCACATCGGATGCATTTTTTACATCTCGAGCGTTTTTTTTTATTCACATCGGAAACATCTGTCCCATTACATTTACGTATACTGAATCACGTGATCAAAGATTTTTTACATCTCAGATGCATCCGATGTGGATTCTCAAACGCAGCAACAGTAGGTACATTTTTCTAGAATAATTTTGTGAAATCCAAGATAAACTATTTTTCATTTGTAAACAACTTTTTGAAATACCCCATAGATTACGTTATTTTAACTAATCAAAATTAAAAAAGATTATATTAGTTTGTTTTTTAAATAAATGTATTATAATTATAAATTTAAAAATTAGATATACCTTCTTACTTATCAAAACGCTTGGCAACCATGTACAGCTGCGTCTAGATATTTGCTTTAAAATGTGCATTTTTTTAGATTTTATTAATAAATTTCATGCTTTAATGTGGATAATCGGCAATTTTATATTTATTTTCATAATATTTAACCGCTACTATCTAATAGTGCAAATGATATTTTGAAATTCGTGTCTACAAAGTCAAACGTACCACCTTGAACGAAACTAGGCAAATTTTACCACGTTAATCGGCATTTCAATAAATAATAAATTTAAAAAAATCTTACCATAGGTATAAAATTATTAATTTTTAATTCTTCTAACACAATAGATTATGAACTAGGATAATAATTCTTAAAAATCTTCTCAATTATCACTGCAAAATTCACAGCTAAGTAGACATCTGTCAAAATAAATAAATTTCTTGGTAGACTACTTGATAAAAAAACTGTTAACTTTTTTCTCTGGTTTGGTAAGTGGGAATTATTTGCGCATGTACAAAGATAATTGAATGGATTCATAAGACAACGTTTATACGGGATGTCCAATTTTTCAGTATTTTGCAATGAATCTATGAAAAATTGTTTCGAATAATTTTTATCTTTAATTCATATTGAAAATACTTTTTAATTGGATGAGCCGTATTTTTAATCACTCTACAGGATGTGTTGGAAACATCATATTTTTATTGGTTGTTACCGGCTGCACTAGACACCAACGGATCCAAGGGGAGGGCAGTGGGGTAGGATCAATGTGACAATGGAGAATGTTTCAAAACAAGCTCTAAGGACCGATTCCACCGTTGTGTTAAACGGAGATTAAAATGACATTGTTAATGTAAAAATGTCATTTTAAACTTCGTTTAACACAACGGTAGAATCGGTCCTAAGGGCCGATTCCACCGATGCGATGTGTTAAACGGAGATTAAAATGACATTGTTAATATAAAAATGTCATTTTAAACTTCTTTTAACACAACGGTGGAATCGGTCATAAGTGAATTAATATTATCAATGTGATTAATGTCCATGAAATAATTAAATTAAAAATAATAAATGTTCTTAGAAAAGTTAACTGAATTTTATGTTATGGATCTCTGCGGTTAGAGTTTTCAATAAATTAAGTAAATGCATTCATTTATCTGTTTCTTTTTTAAGCCTTGTAGAATTTAAAAGATGTTAGAGCTTAATTAATTTACCATCTTTTGGGAGTGATGTGCCGTACCTTATTTCCTTTTTCTAAAGGATGTCTCCATCGATGTGAAGTTCTGATGTTTTCATTATTACTGGAAAAAAAAATAATATAAAATCCAATTTCTAGAAGTTCTCGATCGATGTCATAAAATCTGAGTTTCAGCAGGTAATGTAGGAACTCTTTCTTATGGACTTGTTATGGGACTTATTTGATGCTTATCCATACGAATCGACCCCCTGGGGGTCGATTGTCGACTCGTAGGAGTTTTTTCCTATAGGACCCAGACAGCACACCAAATCCTTTGGATATCTACTGGACATCCCAATATCCACTGAATGTCCAGTCATGGTGGATATCTATTTTATATCCATGAGATGTAATTTATAGAAATGCAAATGTCCATAAATAATAGTAATTATATAGCAAATTATTAAAAAATTAAGCCATTGTGCTCGCCATTGTGGCTAATAAGTACCGTTCAGATATTTAAAATTATTTTTTAAGGTGTATTCAATATCCCATGGACTTCCACTAAATATATCAAAGTAAAGGCGCGAACGCAAACCATATGGTGGATATCCACTAGATGTAATTTTTGATTTTGCCCACTAAGAAGAAAGTCATTCTTGGACCGGTTTCGTCCTTATTAGGACTAGAATTATTTCCTTTTTTAAAAATAGCCCGCCTGACTTTTATTCCACTTAGTCTCTGAACTAGGTACTACAGCGACCTTTGATTTTGCTTATTAAGTATAGATGGCGATATACCACTTTCGCTCGTTGAATATCTACTCATGCTCAACTCGCCGTAATTAAGTTCGATCGAAATTGGTATTATAATCAGACTCCATTAGAGACTGGAGTCGAGAATTTCTATTTATTGTTGAAGAGTCCTAATAAGGATGACTTTCTCCTTAGTGGGCAAAATATTCAATAATCATTAGTTACTTATGAACCTCTACTAAAGATACCCATGAAATATTTTGCTGAATATCCATAGAATATCTTCTATATCCTGGGATATAGACGGACATTTGGATATCCATATTAGATCCACTGGATATCTATAATATCTTGTGGATATATTGGATATCCACAAAAAATATTCTGTGGATATCTCTGGGATTTCTTGTATTGTCTGGGAGATACTCATTAGATATCTGGCTGGATATCAATAGGATATCTTCTATATTCTGGATATAGACGGACATTTGGATATCCATATTAGATCCATGGGATATTTCTGATATCCTTTGGATATATTGGATATCCACAAGATATTCTGTGGATATCTCTCTGGGATTTGGTGTGTTGTCTGGGAAAAGGATCGGGGCGAGGCCGCACGGCACAATTTGCCGAGCCTCGGAAGCTCGTCCACATCTGCATGCTCATGCGTCCTCGGCTTGCCTCATACGCGTACGTGCTCAGATCTGTACCCGCCTTAAGAAAGGTATAAGATATTGGTTAGCATTTTATAGTTATATAGGGTATATAATTAACTGAGGCTTGGTAGGTTCTTACAGAATGCAGAACGTTTATTTTATTACCTAAATCCGCACTCATCCTAATATCTGGTATATTGTGGGTTGGTAGTTTTCTGCATAACGCCCAGAGCCAGACTGGGCCCCAGGACAGACAATTCTTCACATCGGGCCCCGCGATAATTTTCCAGATCAGGCCCCGCGATAATTCTCCAGATCGGGCCCCGCGACAATTTTATAAAAAATTAAAGGACAAAAGGTCTTCCTCCTCCTCTGCTAGAATTTCTCTAAAAAAAAGTCTTAGCAAAATTTTCAAATTTTCTCCTCCTCTACTTCAATTTCTCTAAAAAAAAAAAACAAAAAAAAAACAAAACAAAAAAAGTCTTCAAGCAAAATTTACTCTTCTCCTTTTCAAGCAAGCACTTCCCCCCTCTTGCGTCGAACTTCTGAAAGTAACAAACACCACCGCTGCCGGGCCCCCATCTGAGCCCGGGCCCCGTGAATTAGTCCCGGCTGCCCCCCCCCCCCCCCCCCCCTCTAGTCGGCCCTGATAACGTCGTCGAATTTAGAAAATGAAGAAGAGAATGAAATACCAATCAAATACGACGATATCCATGTAGATTTTATTTTAGCGAAATTCTTAGGAGGCAAGAGAAAAACTTTTCTATAGGTATATATCTGTGTGGTTCAGAAGAAATATTCCCGAAGCGATATTGAAGTTATATCCCTTAAATCAACAAATGAAACGAATACCTTCAAACTAGTTGATAGTGATATTTCAACCATCAAGATAGAGGATATCATAAAAAAGTTATCCCAACCGGAACTGCACAAAGTCGGCAACAGAATAAAATATGTATTTCCAACAATTTTCATATTTTATTTTTGTGTTATGAATTTGCTCTTTATTTTTATTTACCTAGTGTATTCAAAATTAAAAGTATAAAAAAATGTTCCTTAATTTGAGTCAATAATTGGTGTGTCAATTACTGGTACCTGGAAAAAATCAAGTGCCAATGACTGGTACTTCAAAACACTTTTTCTATAGTATTTATTTCATGAAAAGCAAAATTATTAGAACTAAAAATACATCACTAATGAACTCGAGAAACTATAAGCTACAAGAAAAAAATATATTATATGCTTAAATTTTTATATTATTGGTGAAAATAATTATTTAATACAAATCAGTGTCTAATAGTGTCAATTACTGATGCAGTTACCTTACATTAAAAATAATTTAGTTACATACCTTTAATCTACTTTTTCATGACCTGCAAAAAACAGTAACAGAGGGATCAATTATGAATTAAACAGTGTACTATAAATAAACATATTCAGTTAAAGCCAGCATTCATAACTAACACTGGCATTATTGTAAAAGGTGTTTATTTTGGGTTTCAAAAATGTAGGAAAAGTACGAAAAAATAATTTTATTTAAATAAAAAAAAACATCAATCTAAATGTAAATGATCAGATACATTCCAAATTTCAATATCTTCTAATACAGGAATTCTATTATTAACAAAAGTATGTTCAATTTTTAAATATATATCTCTGGAGCAATTTTGTTTATTTTTACACACACAATTCCTTTGACTTATCTCTGGCTTGCCCAAATTTAATCCATTTTTCCTTCTTTTTTCTCCAATTTTATCTCTGATTGTCCTTAGATCATCAATATGAGGAGTCATTGTAAGTCCTAAGCCAGGGTAAATTATAAATGCAACAAACGTCATTACTGTCAGTAAATATATTGGGATAGTTAAAGCCCAACACCGTTGAGGTAGAAATGTGATTCCAATGGTTTTAAAATATGTTTCTGGTACTACAGCCCAAATAAGATAAATAATAAAGAATATTCTGAAAGAGAGGTACATTACAAAACCATACACAGCCCTACTAGGAGTTGGTGATGGTGTGTGTTCTGGCATTTTAGTAATGACTATATTTTTCACTGACTGGAAGTCCTAAAAGTTCAATTGTACCAGATACAAGATCTATTTTTTCAAAAAAAACATTCACAGCAACTCTTAACTGGTGTGCAAGTGGAGCAGAAAAATTCCTAAAATAAAGTATAATCAGTCAATAAGCAAAATGTAAATGATACCATTTAAATTAACTTACGCTACCAATATATTATCCTGTACTACAAGTAGTTTCGTTACTTTGCTTCTTTTAGGTTCTTTGTCTACTCTTAAAACATCATACATTACTTCTGCAATCCTTTTGCTTTGCAATGGTATTTGAATCTCACTGTAAATTCTTAAGGAACATAATTCATTACAACTACAAATGTTTGATAAAAACTGTTAAAAGGATACATTTTAAATTGTTCTTCACTCATTGCACTATTTTTCTCACAAAACAATCACTATTTTGTTTTACTTTTAATAGAAGAGAAATATTTTCTATGGAGAAATCCCTTATGAAACTTAACATAACCTTCAAATAGAGCGAAAGTCGATAACAAAAGCGATCTTCTTTTTATTGTTTCTGTTAATAGGTAATGCGAACTATGAATAGAAAATTATGTAGAAATTAAGAAGTTATGTAGTTAGCTGAAAGATGTTAGGCCAGTTTATAAAAGTAAAAGAGGAAAGAAATTTAGAAGTACATAAATAGGCCGAATAGCTGAGGCCTACGAAAATTGAAAAGAAGAAGTAGTACACAAATAAAGGTTATGTTGTTTTGTTTATTTTCAAATTCTCATAAAATTATCTAAAAATTGTTAATTTTACTATATTATGTCGCTATTTCCAGCTTACGCTGAGCAATCTAATTTAAAAGAATCCAAACCCCAATCTTCCACTAACGCAGAATGGTTGGAAAATTCTAGTTTTCATGTGAATTTGGTAAATGTACAAAACGAAAATATTTCTGAAGAAAAAACATCTCAAGATGAATTGCAAGTACCGAGCACCTCGAAAAAGCGTAAAAAGAAACGTAAACGCAGCGATTCAAAAAAGAAAAAAACCGATTCTGATTTAAGTGTTGAAAAAAATGAATATTATAAAATTGAACTTTTAGGTGCTAGGGAGTTACTTACGGTACCTTTTATTTCGCGCCCTTCGGCGCCAATTTATAAAATAAAATACTGGATACGTGATTTAAAAAATCCGAAAAGTTTTTTTAAGAGTTCATTTAAACGTTACCATAAGTATGTAAATTTTAAGGCCAAACCTGAAAAAGAAACCGCAATAACTTTGGAGAATTTAAATAAAATCGGTTTCGCTCCTAGGGATGAACAATTTTTAGGTTTTAAGCAAGAGGAAGAGTTAACTGAAAAGACTGCATTCTATAATAGTCATTTAGGTGAAAATCCGACCGACATTAAAGTTTGGTTAGAGTATATTCATTTTCAAGATGTCGTGCATCAGTTTGAGAAAACTTACAGGAAAGGGAGCATGGCTAAAGCTCAGAGAGTGTTGGCTGAGAGAAAATTATCTATTCTTGAGAAAGCTTTATCATTAAATCATAATAATAGTGAAGTGTTGCAGAGAGAGAGATTGACTATTGCTGTGACAACATTTCCTTCTGATGAACTGCAGGTAACCTTATTTCCGCAAGTTATTTATAAGACCAACAATTTATTTATTTAACGAAAAAACCTCTTGATTATTATATATAATAATAATAGTTTATTTGTCCTTTAGGATCATGTTACATGATATAGGATAAGTCATAATATATATGAATAAAAAATATTAAAATACAAATATAGGTACAGTATACAAAAAAAATATATATATATCTAAGACATACACATTAAAAATATACAATTAGAAAAACATTTACCTTAAAATATGGTGGTATTCAGATAAATTATAAAAACATGAATCTACTAAATAGTTTTTAAGTTTTCTTTCAAAAGGTTCATATTTCTTTTCAGATTTAATTAAATCAGGGAGTTGATTAAAAAATTTAATTCCAACAAATTCAGGCGATTTCTCAAATAATGCTGTTGAATGTCTTGGTGTTCTGAATAAATTTGCATTCCTAGTTGAGTATTAATGGTAATTTGAATTTTGTAAAAATTGGTGTACGTTGCATTTAGCATATATCAACGTTTTATAAATGTAAATACAGGGAAATGTTAATATTTTAAATTTTTTGAAGTTAAATTTACAAGTTTGCATTAATTCTAGATTAAAAATAAGCCAGATTATTTTTTTCTGTAAGATAAATACTTTAGATGCATTGACTGCATCACCCCAAAGAATAATGTTGTATGATATATGAGAATATGCTAAAGCATAGTAGACATTAAGCAGTTGCTCTTGGATAAATATTGATTTTAATTTTAGTACTGCATAGTATGCGCCGTTTAATTTTTTACAAACATTAGATATTTGGCTATCCCAACCCATATTGCTATCAATACGTATGCCCAAAAATTTTGTAACATCTGAGAGCATAATTTCTGCATTATTGACATTTATTTTACAATTCTGGGTAATTTGATTTCTGGAATAGAACTGAAGGCAAATGGTTTTGTTTGAATTAACAATTAAAGAATTTCTATAACACTATGATGTAAACACATTAGATAAAACATTTAATTTACTAATTAATTCATCTACTGATTGTGAGTTGGTGGAAATTGTTGTCATCTGCATATAAAATTATATTTTCTCAGTTAATATGATTAGGCATATCATTTATGTAGCATAGAAAAATTAGAGGTCCTAAAATTGATCCCTGAGGCACACCCATATCAACACTTTCTAGTTCAGATTTACAATTTCCGACTTTGACATAGATCTGTCTGTTACTTATATAAGATGACAACCAAGACAAAAAGTCACCTCTAAAACCAAGCCCTTCCAATTTTTAAATAGCGACATCTAAGTTGATTAAATCAAACGCCTTTGATAAATCAAAGAAAAGCGAACCCACAAACAACTTTTGATCGATAGAAGTATGTATGAAATTAAAAAGATCTATTGCTGCACTTTCAGTAGATTTTTCTGGAAGGAATCAATTTTGATTTTGCATATTATTTCATATTTTTTAAGAAATATTAGCATTTTTTGTGGACACACTTTTCAAAGATTTTGCTTAAGATTGTAGGCACTGTAATAGGTCTATAATTATCAAATTATTCTCACCTTTTTTAAAGATAGGAGTTACATATCCTACTTTCAGATAATCTGGGAAAATACCTAGCTGAATAGACTGATTAAGTCTGCTAGAATTTGAGAGATGTGTTGACTAATACGTTTTATTATCTTTGTGGAAATGCAGTCAATGCCCATAGAGTTAACATTTTTTAATGAGTGAATAACTTCAATTACATCACGATGATCAACAGGAGAGAAGTAAAAGGTCTGAGAGACACATGACACAGTAAAATTTTTAAAATTCAAAGGGTTTTGTTTTATACTTACATAAACTCTTAAATAATAACGTTGATAGCTCCGAATTGTTATATAAGTTTGTTTTTCAAGTTCCTAGATTGACTTCTATGCATAATATACCATTTCAATGTAAAAGAGCTCAAACAAATTTAATACGAAAATCTCCAGTAAATTTTATGTGTAGTAGTAATGCTAACAAGATATCTGAATTTTGTGATCTTTTGCTGTACCATATGTGAACTAAAAAATAAAACTCGTGCACACCTTTAGTTTATTTTTGGGCTTTTTTGGTTTTTAGTAGATATAACATTATTTTGCTAATAATAATTGAGAATTCTATATTTAAATTCTTAACTAAATAGTTTGAATAAGACATTTTTTTGCAATATTTAATGTACTAATATGTAGTGCTGTACTGATATTTAAATTTAATTTAACTTTTATTCTTAAGTTTCTGTATTTGCTCTGTAAATGGTTTATAATGTTGGGCAATAAACGCTATTATTATTATTATTATTATTATTATTATTATAAAGATCTTTTAATATATGCATAGAATTTTTTATCACCAGCTGTAACCAAGATGTTTCAAACGATTATTTTGAAAATTAAGAATGATATAGAAATAATTTTTCAACTAGCAAAACGATCCCGTTGAGTCCAATTTTAAGATATGGAATTAGATTTTGGGGAAGTTGTAGCCACACAAAAATTGTACAGCTTGAGTCATGTAAGCCATTTTTTGAGAAGTTAGACTTACATCCCCGTTTCATTCCTAAATTATATATAAGAACAAACCAATCAAATTAATTAATTTTTTTCTAGTCCTATTTGAAAGATTTAGTCGAAAAAGACAAAGGCAACATAATCCTCTGGCAAGGCTACATCGAAGCGACCCAGTGTTCAATGTCCCACTGCAACACACCCGCAGTCCTAACCCTGTACACCAAATGTCTCTCGACTCTTCACCAACTAAGACGCGCCACCTCACTTGAACGCCACATTCTAGAGGAATCGATTTTGAAAATGCTGTACCAGTGCGGGTTGTTCTTGAAGCAAGCCGGTTTGTTTGAACAACTTTGGACGCTTTTACGTCTGTATTTGGAGTTAAATTTGTCTCCAAATGATAAAAATCGATTTAACATTATCTGCGAATTCAAAGAGACGCAGCTTGTCGAACTGGAAGAGGTTATTTTAACGTCTAATTTACCCTTGCACGAATTGTGGTTGAGGACAGAGAAATTACGGGAGTCTTGCCATTGGTTGCCATACTTGGATGACGATAAGTGCGAAGATCCGCAAAGGATGGTGTTCACAGATGACGTAGCGGAATTAATACATCCGGTAACGATGCCGGAAAATATATTCAAATTAACGGCTACCGTATTTTCTCTGTTGAAAATTCCTTTGCTGCCTTGCAGGCATACAACGATGGGAGGGCTGGGGCTGGATTACGTGCCTTGGAACGTCGATTCCGTGGAGCCTTTGTTAGCTATGTTTTTGCCGTTATATCCCGTGGAAATGTCTAAAAATTTGTGGAACGATACCAAGCTGGCCGTGGGACCGCAATATTTGAAAAAAATACCTGGGCACGAGGAATATTTGGATTTCATATTGAAATTGATGGAAAGCAGCGCTAATTGTTTGATAGGTAAAAAATTATATTTTTATAAAATAGAAAAGGCATTCGTTTGTCCAACAAAAAGAAAAAAGTACTAAACTCAACTTTGTTTGGCCCTTTCTGCGCAATGCTCTTGTCATCATTAATGTGCCGTAGTGCACTACTTACAAAATTCCTTAATTTACAATATGTACATTTAAATGTTATAATAACAGTTAGCAACATATGTGAAGCGGATATCTTCTTAACTGCGTCTAGGAAGTATTCCTAACTGCGAAGACCTCAGGCGAGGCCATGACCGATTTCTTGGCCGTGTAATTAATATATTAATATTAATGATTTCCGTGACCTCTTCTTACTTAAAAAGCATTATAAGTCAGTTATGGCTGCTAACTAGATCGGTAGTTGTAAAGTGGTAAGTTTTTGTCAGATTTTACTTTTGTCTATCTTCCCTCAAAAACTGATTGAAAAAACAGGGTTGCCCTTGAGTGTATGTGCATTCTGTAGTAGTTTACGTACATGAGATAGCCAAAACACTGGACTACACGATAACTCCACCGCCCAACACAAAAATCGTGGCAAGCCTGATTTCGGTACCAGGCGATGACGTCACCGAGCAGTCTTCCATCCGACTGAAGTTGTTTTCAAGTCGTCCTAGTGATTTGGCTTTTTGGCTATTCAGTGAGGTTTGTATTGCTGAGGAGGCTGTATGTACATTTTTTCCCGTATTCTGTCTTTTATGTCCGTAATGTGTGCTTTGTACAGCCATTTATGCTACTACTCACACCAATTTCACAGGGAATCGAAGAACTCTGAGAAAAAGTGCTTCTGCAGTCGCACAAATGCCCGTACAAGCCTCTTATAATGTCCATGACGTATGTTATTGAATTTACTATCTTGTATATTCTAATTTAGTTTCTTAAGTTGAAGTTAATGTCTACTTTGTCCATGAAAGCGTTGTAAGTCTCAATTATCTCTTGTCCTGTAATGCATTGTTTTAGTTTAGCGTTTAGAGCACGTACCGCCCTAGTTAGCTCGCCGAAGTTAATTAATTGATTTAAAATTGCAAATTTATGATATAGAGCTGAGAAATCGTTCATGGCTGCGTCTGGGGTGGTTTGTCTTGGTATTTATTCTCTTAATATTTCTTTATATGTGTTTTCTCTCGTGTTCCTAGTCGGTAATGCTGGAAATTCTTCTGTTTTTCTCGCATTCGTAGATCTATTTTGATTTCTAGCCTCCTATTGGTTGAAGGCCGGTATGGGGGCGGGGACTAATTTATTTTGTATTTTTGGCCTTATTTCCTCTAATCTCTCGAGTCTGGCAAGATAACTGGAACATTTTGTGTAGTTCGCGGGGTGTTCACCCCCGCAATTTGTGCAAGTCGCTGGCGTTTCTCGAGTTTTAGTACATGTACTTGTGTGGTGGTCTCCAGCACATTTAAGGCACCTAGCCGGCCTGCCACAGTTTGCGGTAGCGTGTCCCCACTGTTGGCAGTTGTGGCACTGGATTATTAATTTAGATGATTTGCGTAGCTCCCAAGCTACTCTTGTATACAGTACACGCCTAACATTTTTGTTTAATTAATCCAGTGTCAACACCGGATCAGTGACAACTAGAAATAGAGGTCTTTCCTTGGTTCGCATTTGAAATATATCTCTTGCTTTGACATCATGTTCTTCCTCGAGATTTTCGTTAATATCTTGTACCTTCGTGCCTTCAGCAAGGCGTATTGCAGTATGAAATGCTCTAACATTGTGGGACAGTGTGTGTGTAAAAGTTCACTGGCACTGCTAAAATGAAACTTGACATGGTTTTCTGTAAAAGTTCTGAAATTTTTAGAAAAATCTTTCTAACAAAAACTTCAGTTGGATATTCATACTGGCTTTAAATTGACATAGTGATAAAATTATTGTTAATTTGGGTGCCGATGTCAAATTTTGTTTAATTTTTTGTCTGAACCAACAAATGCCAAACTATATTTTATAAAAATTCACAAATCGTGCTGCCAATTTCACGGGTACATAAAGGAGGTTTTCATTTACAGGTGTCGATAAAATCGCCGTAACCGTCTGGTTCTTTCGCTTCCAACGGCTACTGATAATATTAGATAAAATCGAATTGTTCAATATGACGGACAAGCTGAAAAAACGAGTCAAAAAAACGTTCAAAGAATTCTTGAAGCTCGAAAACAACCGGCAAAACGAAATATACTATTTGGAATACGCTTTGGTCGAATACGAATTCGGTAACATTGAGAGTTGCTTCAATATTATCAACATGGCTATCAAATTCAACGAAAAATCCGATATAACGGCGGTGATGCCGTCCGATTCCCAAAAGAATTGGTGTTACCTACATAAACAACTGGTTCAATTGCGAATTAAAACAGGTACAGACGTGCCTGCTATAGTTAAGATACTGTGCAAAATGACGCTACAAACAGATGAGTTGGAATTAACTGAAGATGTATTGCTAGCGGCCGAAACTAAGTTTACAACGATTACTCGGCAGTTATTAGGTAAGTATGTAATTTAAAATGCCAATTGCCATTTTATTGTCCTGAGTCCTTTTCAAAACAATATTTTTCCATGAGGTTGGAACATACCTTAATTATAGACTCATGTGATAATAAGGTGATGTATAGACTCTAAAAAGTTATTACCAAATTTTTATTGAGACATTTTTGATTAATACACTTACAACTTACTGATGAATACCAAAACCCTCAAAACCAGACTTATAGTTGCAGAACATACTATACCAAAAATAATGAAATTATTTTTCAAAAAACTTTCAGGCTTTATACCTTATATCGACTTACCCAGTGCAATTTTTGATGTAACTGAATTGGGTTAAATCATATTGTTTTTATCCCAGAAGTCTATAGTTAAGCTATGTCCCAACCTTTTAGAGACACCCGATGTATTTACGTGGCAGTATTGAAGCGGGTACAGATCTGAGCATGTACGCGTATGAGGCAAGCCGAGACCGAGCCGAATGCCTCTTGCGGCACATTTTGTATTCACGAATAGTGGACGCACGAGGCACTGTTTGCCACTGATCCACTCTTAAAAAATTAAAACAAAAATGGAGCATGATGTCGCGGAGTTAAATGCCTGTTATTTTATCCGACGTATTGCAGAAAAAAGGGAAAAGAAGGAAATTATGGTACTTACATTTATATTTTTACAGGGCAGGTTCTTCAGTACTGAGTATGAATAAAAACAGTACTTGTTTGTTGGATGACCTCTTAGCAAACGAAGACGTAGTGGCCTTGTAATAGAACTGGTTTCTTGCTCTCGCTGATGTTATAAATCCAGAAGCAAAACGTTTTCCTGATTCCACTCCATTCAAAATAAACCTTAAAAACTTGGTGTAATCTGTTCGGCGCTAAGAATGTGCTACGCATTCCCTCTTTTTGATGTATCGCCAACAAACGGATCGGGGCGAGGCGCACGGCGCACAGAACGAAGCAATTTGCCGCGCCTCAAGCCCATCCACATCTGCATGCTCGTGCGTACTCGCCTTGCCTCATATGCTGTACGTGCTCCGATCTGTACCCGCCTTTAGAGAGTAATGCTGTGACTTTTCCATGTAACTGAAGTCGAACATCCAGAGCAATAGATCAAACATTACTTACTATTCAGGATAACAAATAGTTAGAACTACCGTTTATTTTATTCCATACTTTTTTCTGATTATCCTGTATTTTAAATTTATTTAGAAAGCAAACTGGAAAAAATGACTTGCGTCGAACATTTTTTGCCAAATTTTTTTACGGATTGGATCATCTGCCACGGATGGTTTTCGTATTTAACTAAACGACCAGAAGAATGTTTTACGTTTCTCGCCGACGTTCTGCAAGAGTTAGAGAATTCCGCTACGGAAATCCATTGGCAAAAGGAGGTGCTCTATGAATTCTACGTGGCGGTGCTGTTCAAACACGCCAGCGAAGTGCCTGCCAGCGGTATAATCAAGTTGTTGGACTCTGTGCTTTACATGGCTCTCGAAAAATATCCAAACAATGTCTTCATGTTGTCGGTGCTCGAAAGACAGCAGACGACCGCTAACTGTTTGGGCTTGAGATGGTGGCGCGTGCAAAATTTGTTACTCAAAGGGGACCGAGCATTGTCATCGCTGTTTGCCGTTATTATCGTGAGACAGCAGATAGAGACGGTCCGTGAGATGGTCTGCGATACTGTGACGGGTAAGCATTTCCGGAGCAAAATTTCATAATTATTTATTTATGGTTTTCAGGAGAGAAATACGATATTATACCCAGTTTGAAGAATCAGATGCTGTCTTTATTTAAAAAAATCACTTCAGGTACGAATAGTAGAAAGTGCGGTTTAATTTGGAGGTTATACTTGCAATTCGTTTATACGTACTTTTCTCCAGAAATTTGCCGCAACGTTTACTATTCAGCGGTGGAGGAATGTCCTTGGTTGAAGGTATATAAGTCCGAAGGGAACGAAAAAGGACGATTTTTTTTATTTTTAATAATTTCAGGCTTTGTATTTGGACGCTGCCATTTATATACCGGCCGAATTGGCCCAAATTCAAGATTTGATTATCGAGAAACAGCTGAGATTACACGTTACGCCGGAAGAACTGGACGTTTTGAGGAGTTAAAAAAAACTGTGATATTTTTAAGTTAGTTAAATATTATAAGTTTAAAATAATCAAATTGATGATATAATTATGTTGAAAATTAAATTAAAAAACGTTTGCTATCATTATTTATTTTATTTCTAAAAGTTAAAAGTCAATACCAATTGGGCATATATGAGTGAACCCAGAAGATCACAAGACCTTTTCAAACGTTAGCTATTCCACTTTACCCGACCTTATTACTTTAAAAAATTAGCCCAAGATCAGTTATTTTCGTTTATAATATATAAATGTTTTTCCATTTAACATGTTTAATAGTCACCGTTTTCTCAGTGTTGTATAAACCAGGTTGTTCCCAACTCTGGGACTTAAGCACGTAAAGGCAAGAGGCCATAGAAGCACACCAACGATCTGTCAAAATTAAGAACGTGTGTTATGATATGGCAACCCTGTGAGCATGTTGTCTTTGACAGGATCAATGGATCTAGAGATTGCTCAAAATGGGTAAGGGGTATCTTTTGCGAGCGGCTATATTGCCATGCAAATACTTAATAATCGGTTTAACAAAACTAGTTTTTAGCCTTTGAATATAATAAAATAAATAATCTAATCTCCGCATAAGCTCATGTTTATTATGAAACACATGGATGATCAATCTATATCATTAACCCTTTTAAATTATCAGGCCCGCAGGGTTGCCATATCATAACCTATCTGTCATAACATACTTTGAAACAGAAGAAAATTAATTTATAGAGCGGGAATTTATTTGTTTATCCATTGTAAATTTATGGTTTATTTTATGAACTGTGGTGTAAATCTTTTTATTTATCTTGCATTGCAAGATTGGTAGTAAAGTATATTTAATTAAAAACGAAAATAATGGCATCTTCATCAGTTCGTCGAACTTCCCGTTCAAAAAAACCTAGTATGAAAGCATTGGAATCTTTACGCTCTCTCAAAATCCAAAATTCAGGTCTGGTTCATCCAATAATTAGCGATAAAGACGATACAGATGAAGAAATATACGAGGGATATTACCAAGAGGATATTCAAAAACCAAAAATAATTCATGAAAACGAAGTTGTGCATGGAGAAGATATGTTTAATTTTCCTAGACGAAAAACCAAAGATGGAATAGCTCAGAAAGTAGCAGAGGCATTTCTTTTAAAAACCCCACATAATATTAGAAAAAAGACAAAGAAAAACATTGAAAAATTGTTAAAGGAAGACAGTGAGAGTGATTTTGAAGCTTCGTCTGAAGAGGACGAGAGTAACAGCAGTAGTGAATCATCAGATAGTAGTGATACAGACGAATCTGATTATAAGGCAAAAGGACAAAAATTGCAATTTAAAGAACCAAAACTACAAAGTCTACGGACTATGAATAGAAATTACAACATTCAAACTGAGGAATATTTTGAAAAATCATCTTCTAAAAAAAACGTTACATCAAATAATACTTTAGAAAAACTCGAAACACCTCGTTTACCTCAGTATCAGTTACAAAAACTCTTAAGCAACTCTATATCTTCAAATATGCACAAGGATGCTATGATAAAATTAAACAAAGTGAATGACAGTTGTTTTAAAAAGTGGTTATACTTTCTAAATGAAAATTTCAACATACTTCTGTATGGTTTAGGTTCGAAAAGACATATTTTAAATAAGTTTCAAAATACATATTTAAAGAATTTACCAGTGATTGTAGTAAATGGGTATTTCCCTAGTCTTTCAGTAAAGAATATTTTAGATGCTATTATAGGTTTGTTAGAATTGGAAAATAACCCGGGAAACCCAATTGAAGCATGCGATTTAATTGTTCAGGAAATGAAAAATATTCCTGACAGTCATTTATATGTAATAATTCACAATATTGAAGGAGAAACTCTCAGGAATGGTAAAGCTCAAAACATACTTGCAAGGTTAGCTTCAATTTCCAATGTTCATTTTATAGCATCTATAGACCATATCAATGCTCCCTTAATATGGGACCATAAAAAACTTAGTAAATTCAATTATATTTGGTGGGATGCTACATCTTTTGCTCAATACATAGAAGAAACATCATATGAACAGTCCATGATGGTTCAACAGAGCCATACTTTAGCTCTGTCATCTTTAAGGAATGTTTTTGCCTCTCTAACTTCAAATTCTAAGAGTATATATAATTTAATAGTTAAATATCAGCTAGAAAATGCCAAAAGTCAATACTATCAGGGTCTAGCTTTTAAGGATTTGTATAGGACTTCTAGAGATTCCTTTATAGTAAGTTCTGATTTAGCATTGAGAGCTCAGTTAATCGAGTTTGTTGACCATAAGATGCTTAAAATAAAAAGGTCAGTGGATGGTACGGAATATCTGTTGATTCCATTAGAAAATCAGTTATTACAGAAGTTCTTGGATGAAAATAAATAGATATTTTTTAACTATTTGGCTTAATATTAGGATTGTTTTAAAGTATGTCATTTTGTTGTACTAATTTTTGTAATTATTATTTATAAATAAAAGTTGTTTTCATTTTTTCATGAATTACTATTCAGGAAAAAATAATTTGACAGTTATGTGACATTTATTTATTGCCTTTTGCACTGATCTGTTAACTATTGACTACTAATTAATCACAATCCTATGATGCTGGGTTTAATTTTAAAATTTAATTTCTTAGCAGTTTGGCAAGTTATTAATACTGACATAATTGTAACAAAAAAATATTTGAGTTGCTATTTGCTAATGACTTAAGTGACCATATTTTGAAAAATTATTTTTAAGCTTCTTAAATGAACAAAAGCAGGACAAATTCGTTTTTAATCGGATAGAAGCAAGACATTGTTTTTAATCGGACAAACTCAAGCATTTCACAATTTATATCAGGTGAATAAAGTTCCTAATAACACTGGCAGAATACTAGATCTTATATTATCTACATATGGAAACACTACAGTGACCTTGAGCGATAAAGCATTAGTTCCAGCTGATGGTTACCATCCTCCTTTAAACTTCCAAATTGTGAACTCTTTGAATCATTCTAATGTGAGTGGTACCCAAAAAGACATTTTTTATTATGATTTTAGGTTGGCTGATTTATCTCTGTTGAACGATTGTTTAGGTCAGGTAAATTGGGATAACTTTTAACTCTGGAGAGAACCATAATGAACATTTTCTTTTGTATGCTTTTTTCTGTTGAATTATAGCATGGATAAAAAAATAGAGAATATCAAAAAGTATTAACCATATTCGCTGAGTGATTTAATAATAACCCAGACAGCACACCAAATCCTTTGGATATCAACTGAACATCCCAATATCCACTGAATGTCCAGTCCATGGTGGATATCTATTTTATATCCATGAGCTGTAATTTATAGACATGCAAATGTCCATAAATAATAGTAATTATATAGCAAATTATTAAAAAATTTCGCCATTGTGGCTAATAGTACCGTTCAGATATTTAAAATTAATTTTTTTAAGGTGTATTCAATATCCCATGGACATCCACTACCCAAACAGCACAGTACGTCTTAAGTACGTACAATTTTGGTACTGTACGTACAGGACGTAAAATGTACGTTTTAAGTACGTACACAACAGTACGTACCAGTACGTATAGAAAAGTACGTACTAAGTACGTACCTAAGGGTACGTAATCCTGGTTGCATACCTATTTTATTAAAAAAACCTATGTGTTTACCAAATTTCTGTTGACCGTAGGCCAAAAAATGCAAAAAAAAGACGAAACCCAATTTATTTAACCTAACCTAAACTCTAAACTAAACACGCTCGTTTTTGTTAGTTTTTCATGTTTAGGATTTAACTATTAAGTGTTTCATTAAATAAATAGTTGTGTATAATTTATTATGATTGAACAAGTTTAGTGCGTGTTATAATTACGTAGTTTCGTCATTTTATTCTGGTGAGTGGTTTCATTTTAATTTTAAAAAATTATGTGTAATAAATAAATATAATTTATAGATATGTCATCCCATCCCATAGTAAACATTACAAAAATGCTACAAAACAATTAAAAAAGTTTAAGGAAATGAATAAACAGGAGGTATCTAATATTTTAGACAAAAGAAGTGATATTTTACAGACCCTAATAATTTAATTTTGGATTTTGTCAAAAGGACTATTGCTGGTGCCTTAATACGATAACTAATAAGCTGGCAACAAATTATAATTGGCTGCAGTTGAAGTGGGTAAGATGTTTTAATTTTTTATTTTTGCATGCCAGTTTTCATAAAGTCGTTGCATTAAAACCCATCTATCTAGTCACAATTATTTTTGTATCTAATGAAATTGTGTACTTCCAACCATTGGACTTCAAAACTGATGGAGATCTAGCTTAACAAAAAGAAATATAGGACTTCCGATATTATAGAACAGTGGCAGGAACGAATTGGATTTCAAAGGCATAAGGCCAAAACAGGTGGATACAAATAAGAGAGGTTTGGATCCAGGAGTATATTGACAATGATAATTTTGAGCTGTAGAAACTATCGCTTACTTTACTCTACATCTTTTTGTTGTATTGTTTTTATTATATTGTTTATTATAAAAAGTAACAAAGTTAAGTTTCTAATTTGATATTATTTCTTTGCAGAAGGTGCTATAAAAAGTAACAAATATAAAGAGAAGAAGTTTGTAGAACAGGAAATTGTGAGATGGCTAAGAGGAGCTGATGATAGCAAAACATTTTAAATTATTCTTATAATGTAAAAAATTAAATAAATACAAATTAACTTGTTTACTTTTCTTTTTATTGCACTAATACGTACATTATACATCATAAGTAAGTACCAATAAGGATGTAAAGTACGTCTAAAATATATACTCTATTGGAATAAGTACAAACATAGTACGTACATTATGTACGTACAGAGTACGTACATTATGTACGTACAGAGTACGTACATTAGGTACGTACAGAGTACGTACTTTAAGTACGTACTAGGTACGTACCGTCGTTTGGAAAATGTACGTATTATGTACGTACTTCGTACAGTAAAGTACGTACATGGTACGTACTTTACGTCCCATCAGTACGTACATAGTACGTCTTATGTACGTAAGTGTGTTTGCTGGGTAAATATATCAAAGTCTAGGCGCGAACGTAAACCATCGTGGATATCCACACTAGATGTAATTTTTGATTTTGCTTACTGAGTATAGATGGCGATACTACTTTCGCATCTACTCATGCTCAACCCGCCGTAATTGAGTTCGATCGAAATTTGTTTCACAATCAGACTCCATTAGAGACTGGAGTCGAGAATTTCCATTTATTGCTGAAGAGTCCTAATAAGGATAACTTTCTCCTTAGTGGGCAAAATCAAAGGCAGAGTAGAGTAGAGAAAATATTTTTTATCTCTGCTATTTTCTTTCGACTTTATTCAATAATCATTGGTTACTTATGAACCTCTACTAAAGATACCTATAAAATATTTTGCTGAATATCCGAATTCTTTTATATCCTGGGATATAGACGGACATTTGGTTGGATATCCATACTGGATATCCACAGAATATATTCTGTGGATATCTCTGGGATTTCTTGTATTGTCTGAAAAATATTCATTAGATATTTTGCTGGATATCCATATGATATCTTCTATATTCTGGATATAGACGGACATTTGGATATCCATATTAGATCCATGGAATATTTCTGATATCCTATGGATATATTGGATATCCACAAAAGATATTCTGTGGATATCTCTGGGATTTGGTGTGTTGTTTGGGGTCAATCACAAACTTTTGTTAAATAAACTGGAGACTGCTGGAATCATGCAGCAATGGCTGAAATATTTCAAACTGTTGAATAATTACAGATCTAAAAACATTCCTAATCCATCTGGAGTCCCCCAGGGGTCCCATTTGAGACCTTTGTTATTTATATATTATCTCAGAATGTTTCAAGTTGGCCAAATTTTTATGTTTTGCTGATGATCTAAAGTGCTACCTAGCAGTTTCATCTCTTGAGGATTGTCTCAAACTCAGTCTGATCTGGCTAGGCTTGATGAGTGATGTGCGAATAATGCTATGGACCTAAATATCACTAAGTGTCACTCGATATCCCTTACTAGGAAGATCAACAAGATTCATTATCAATATAATACACATCTGTCCCATTACATTTACGTATACTGAATCACGTGATCAAAGATTTATTACATCTCAGATGCATCCGATGTGGATTCTCAAACGCGGCAAATATTGATCTTATTATGTACCGTTTCAATGAAAGGAATACATTCATTATTTAATAAACCGGCGACTTTATATAAAAATTCTAAAATCCAACATTTTTTTATTTGTAAATGGGCGTTTCGTCACCCTTCGTATATCTTTGTTAAAATAATATCACACTGTCCATATAAAATATACCTGCATTTTGTAGTATCAAAAAGTGGAGTTGTAGAAAGAGTATGGTGTACACTATATGTCCAAATTGCTTTCCCACTCGCTTAACGCCTCGTGTCAAAAACTGCACTCATGGGAAAAATATAATTTTGCAATTTTATTTGCCCTAAAACTGCTGTGATTTTTAAGAGTATTATTTCAAAGGCAGTTAAATATTTTGAACTGTATTTAAATAATAATGCTTATTCAAACACAAAATTCAACAAATTGGAACTCATGGGGTGTCTTAAAAAAAAATCTCGACTATACAAAAGCCATTTGTAAATAAATCACATTTCTAAAACATACCATCTTATTCTTTCCTTCAATAGCATGTAGACTCTACACTTTATTTCTTAATAAAACAACTCAATTAAATATATATTTTCATCTTGATTATACACTTTAGTAAAATTAAAATAATAAATACAGTTTTGTAGAGAAGCATACAAAACATCAATTGAGATATGGTAAAATATAATTATCACATATAGATACATTGAGGTGCCACATGAAGTGGTTTATTCCAGGTACAGTTATAATTTTTAACTTCTTTTTCTCATATAAAGTTTTCAGTCCAATGGAATCTTGTTGGTAAATATCCCGATCTTTTAAGTCCACCACAGTTCCATTTTTATTGTAATATCCAAATTGACTAAAAACAATGTATATTAAAATATTATCAATGATATTATTACATAAAAGATGTAGTAATAATTATTATATAGATATTAACAGTAAATTTTTAAGTAGTTTATATCATGATGCTAAAACAACGAATGTGCAAATTTTCAAATAGAGGGTGTTATACTTTCAAGACATATTTGTGACTTTGGCATTGATAACTTTCAGGGTTAACACATCTGCTACAGCATTTACAAATTAAAAAAGATGTAAACACATCATAGATAAATCAGAATCATAAAAAATAGGGATCATTGTAACTACTTTCTTACCTAGACTGCCAGGGTGTTATCACATTATCATCTGGTCCTCCTATGAGAACCAGCATATCTAGTTTTGAAAGGCCCTGTTTGAATTGGTCACTTTTATTAGATTCTAGTTCATTATTTACAAAAGGTAAATACTGTGAGTAACTCAGGTACAATTTGTTGTGATAAGGATCATTCCAATAGTTCCCCACAGAAGTATGCTGACCAACTCTAGAATAAAACAATTCAAAAGCTGTTTCAAGAGCTAAACCTGGGAAATATAAATGCAGAAACTGAGCTGAAAAAGGTAGGTGATGTTAAAAGCGAGGGAAATTATATATTATTTTGTATTACTTCCATATTGGCCAGCCTGTGGTCCGCTTAAAGATATATATCGAAGAATCCTGTGGTTTGGATTGGCTTGTAAAATAGTTCTGCCTAAGAGAGCTCCTTGAGAGTAACCTTAAAAAAATATAATACTGTTACTCAAATGTGTTTGGAAAGTTTTTTTTTTTTTTTTTTTTTTTTTTTTGTAATGGGAATTTGGAAAGTTATTTGAATAAAAAAAAAAAAATATCTAAATTACTTTTGGAATGTTGTATTAATAATTAATAGATACGATTTTTAGGGTAAAATGAGTGCTAAGATTGCAAATGCTTTCTGTAATAACTACAGTCCAGCACAGGAATTCTTATGTGCGAACTCGACACATTACTTATTAAATAGAGAGAGAAATTACAAAAGAATCGCAGTCTGTTGAACAAATATAGGCATCTTGATAGGAGATGTATCAAAAAAAGGGAATCCCACTGCTGGACTAAACAATTTTTGAAACATGAATGGTAAAAAGGCAACCTTCTGGTTCACTGTAGCTTAAAATGTAATCTGTTAAAAATTAACACTTTTTATCCTATAAATATTATAATTTATATTGAAACAATTTTTAAATCAAATAAATAATCTTACCTACAAAATGTACGCCTTCTGGATGTTTTATAGTAATATTTGAAATGTATTGAGAAATTTGTTGCACTTGATACCACATGTTCTCAAGACTAGACCATCCACCAAATTGTTCAATATTATAAACAATAGTTCCTGGATGTTTCTAAAATAAAGTCTTTAAACAATGGCATTTGCTAAAAATAAAAAAATACCTCTTCTATACGACTTTTAATTAATTCCATACTTTCTGGTCCAGTGAGGATTCCATGTAATAAAATTACTGGTTTATAATTATAAGCTAGTGTGTTAAAAATACAAACAAATAAAATGACTAGATATTTCATGATATTTAAAAGGAAAACTACGTATTTATTAAGTAATAGAAATCAATCTATTTAATTTAAAAAAAGCATTATCACTGTAGTGAAGTGAATTAATTTTTCTATGAAAATTAAAATTATTTTGCGTTTATTAACCTTTAAACTTATAAATACAATAAACGTCATAGGATATGGCCTCTTTGTTGCAGGTATGCAGCACTTTGTAAAAACATCCGTGTATGGTGTGACCATTTACAATATGATTAAAGAGCAACAAAAAAGAAGAAAATTGACATTATGGTAGTGTTGCCAGCCGAGTACAATTGTACTAGATCTCGAAAATTATCTAAGAATCTGATACTAGAGTACACTCGAAAGAAAACATAGTACTTTTACTTTTTTCAGCGTGTTTCCATTTATTTGACGTGTAAAATATATTGTTGAGATTTTCCTTGTTTGTTATGTTCGTGTTCTTTATAAACCATTTTTTTATTCGAAAAATCTGGTACATTATATAGAATCTAGTACAGTTTTATAAAATCAGGTACATTTTTTAGACAAATCTGGTACATTTCAAAAATATATTCTGGCAACATTGAAATTTGACATAAATATATAAATATTTTGGTTTATATTCATTGATCATAAATAATTCATAATAGTAAATTATACACTAGATACTCTAGCAATAATGAATCAAGATGAGAAAATGATTGAAGATAATAATATGACCCTAGGTCAACCATTAAGCGATTTTCTTTTACAGTTGGAAGATTATACTCCTACAGTAAGTTACAAAATTCCAATATCTTATTTAAACTAATAGGACAACAATTTATAGATTCCAGATGCTGTAACTAGTTATTACCTAAGAAGTTCAGGCCTAGAACCGAAAGATCCTAGGCTTGTTCGGCTAATATCAATTGCAGCTCAAAAATTCATATCAGATATTGCTAATGATGCACTGCAACATTGTAAAATGAGATCTACAAACTCCTCGAGTCACAGCGGTTCTAAGGTAAAAGTAAAAATAGCGACTCTGCTATCTAAACATTCTGTATTTATATAATTTTTTGCTATTATAAAATAGTAGTCCTTAATCTAACTGTACATAAAATTTGAATGACAGCATTCTTAATTGAATAAGAGAAAAACTAAAATTTTAATCTGCACTATACACAAGTATTTTTCAGTTGTTACACTGCATAGTCATAACCAACAAAATAAATTGTAAAGACCTGCTGCATATGTTAAATTTTAGGACTCCCGGCCAAACTTTTAGGTGCAATGATACTTTTTACTTGACCACTCCTCTCACCAACATTTTAAGCAAATCTCCATTATATGTCATGTGTAGTAATTGCAACAACATTAACTCTGAGTTGGATATATTAAACAATAGAATTTCAGACATAAAACATTTGCTTTCGTGATTATTTTATCATTATAAATAGTCTGTTTTTTCTTTCTTAAATCTTTATTCTTTTGTTTCATCATTTTTTACATTGTATATATTTGTTTTGTTATATTTTGCCTGTTCTGTAATTGGGATTTTTCTATAGAAGTTTGTAAAAATAAATATATTTATAGTTTTTTTTTTTAAATTATGCTTAATTTATTTTTAGAGTAAACAAGGTACAAAGGATAGAAGATTTTGTTTAACAATGGAAGATTTGACACCAGCTTTGGCAGAATTTGGAATAACAATTAAAAAGCCACATTATTATGTTTAGACTAAGTTTAATATAAGATATTTCCCGATATTTCCTTCACAATTAGTTTAAGAATAAATAAAACAAAAATAAAGTAGATATTTTAATAAACAATTACATTTTTTTTATTAAGAATGAGCAGTTTTTTATTGAATTATTATATAGTTATACCCTAAAGAAATAATATATAGGGTGGCCACTTTTTAATTGAAATGTATTGCTATTGTAGGAATATTGTGAGGGTAATACATTTACAGTACTCAACTAGCAATTGAAAAGTAAACACATATTGGTCACCTTATAGTCACGTTAATACGGGGGATTATTGAAAAATCGCTACAATGTCGTCAGAAAGTGATTGTTCTTACAGTGAAGTGGATATAGAAGATAGAGGGAGTATGAAAAAAAGTTAGATGCAAAAGAAAGCATCAAAGCAATCCTTTAAGCCATTTTAAGAAGATAAGTCGTGAAGAAATCAATAATATTGGATAAAACTCCAAGACTAATTCTGCAAATCCAACAACTATAAAAAGTAGCACAATAAAAAAACAACACAAAAACTTTTCAGCAAGAATGAAAGAAATAATGAACAACAAAAACTACAAACATATATTTAACATCAATCCAACTAAAGGGTGGAGAAAAATCAATCTATGCAATACATGTGAAGAAATTTTTCCAAATGCAGAGGATGAAATGATAAAAACAAGACAGGAAAAAAATTACAGACACACTTAACAATTTAACCCTTTTCAAAAAAATCATAAGCTACAAGGAAACTCAACCTAATAACCAAACACCAACTAGCACAACAACAGAAAGCTAATCAGTGGTAATTTCATCAGCAGAGCTAGAAATTGATGACAAGAATGTCAGTGACCACTTAAAGCACAGATTCTGCAAAAGGATTATCTCAAAACAAACAGGTAATCCAACAACCCTCATCAGAATAATTAGTGGGGAATTAAACACATTCGAGCCACTGCTTAGACATGGGTTCTACTTCAAATTAAGACACTACCCCATTTATACCAGTAAACCACCACCAAATGCCTCTCCTTTACCCACCCTACAGTGTCCAAAATGCTTTGGTCCACATGCTATACAGAAATGCACTTCTTCTCTTCCACCCAAATATACTAGCTGCAACTCAGAAGAACATCAAACGTGGTCGTTTAAATGCCCAAAGAGACCCACAGCTCCGATCAGTGGAATCCCCAATATTCCAATTAAATCACTAAACAAGAAATCCCATGAAATTTCAAATGATAAAAAAAATCAAGAATACACAATCCCATCACCATCCATGATCATATCATAAACACCTACATAAATGAATTGAATGAACCCATTAATATAAACAGAGAAGAACTTATAAACAAATTAAAGAAAACATTTATAAACAATTTTAACATGGACACCACTGCTATATTTTCAGGCAGTCAATATATATTCTAATCTTTGATCTAGAGATAGACAACCCTATCTCACCAACAGAACCTATCAATAGCCAATCTAATAGTCTGTACATTCACTCCACAAATGACTAAATTTATATATGCCAACATATTCAGTTACTCTAAAAGGAAATTAATTACATAAAACTACATTGAAAATAACATTATTGACTGTGTACTACTTGTAGAAACACTAACCAACACAAACACCCGTGTTTAAATATGGGCAAAGCCAATCCACCTGCCATCAACAACAGGTTCAATGAGTGTATCCACTGCACAATACCCTTTCAAGAAGACAAGTTACATATATTTCTAGTATATACTCATCCAGCTGCTAGAATAGAAGAAACTATATTTAACAAAGCCAGTCTTTACAGATACGCTATCATTGTAGCCGACTTCAATATTAACAGCTCAACATTTAAAAAGAAAACTGAACAATTTCCTCCAAAATTCTGATTTCAAAAAATGGGAAACGGGACCAACATATCTACAAGTTGAAGTTATTCCTAATCTTGGTTCTAACCACCTGGCATTGACATTCAATATCGATATAAACAGACCAGTAAAGACCGAAAATCTGATGCGTTATAACTTTAGAAAAACAGATTTCAACAAAATAAATAGTATCATGAAACATTTTTTGGTTAATAAAAATTACAACATAAATCAAGTCAAAATTTCAAGATTCACTGCCAAATTGTTTGCTACAATCTTAGAGTGCACCCAACTTCCAGACAACACTTCTACTCCCACGAACTACCACCATTCATAATATGCCTCAATAAAAAGAAAAGAAATTTGTACAGATAGTATAAAAGTATTAGAGACAGAGACTTGAAAACTTCTATAAACAAACTGAATAAAAATATTCAAAACCTGATAGCGATAAATGCAAAGAAAGGGAAATTAAAAAACTAAGTACAACTCAAAAAATAAAATAAGTAAAACGATACTAGAAAATAACGCCCAAAGAAAAAGCAAACATTTTTACTAAAAAACTTAAAAATATTCACAAAACAAGTGAAGATATAGATTTTGACGACAACCACTACTATCATGTCTTAGATTGGCATGATAATATGATACGAACACCATATAATATTTCTGAAAATGAAGTACACATACCAAAAGACGAATATTTTGAAATCCTAGCACAAGGTAAAAATACAGCTCCTGGTCATGACCGCATTACCAGAGTGGCATTAAGAAAACTAGACTATGACATATATTCTTACATAGTTAAAATTTATGAGTATTGTTTAAGAAATAACTACATACCTAAAGAGTGGAAAACTGGAGTTATAATCACTATACCCATAGCCAAGATAAGACCACACCCAAATAAGCAGCTACCGTCCTTACTGCCAATCCTTGCCAAAAATTTGGAGAAAATTATTAAAAATAAAATTGTACAAATTACTAAAGACCGGATCCCAGCATACCAGTTCGGGTTCAGAACTAGTCGATCCACTCTACATCCCCTCACAATTCTACAGAACAACATAGAAGCTACTAAATTAAATGGAGGAAGAACAGCTGAGATATTTCTAGATATCAACAAAGCATTTGACAGCGTTTGGCACAAAGGCCTTTTGTACAAACTACATGAATTTAATTGTCCGACATACCTAATTCAACTCTGCAATACTTTACTAAATGACAGAAAACTGTGCGTAAAAGGCCTGTCTCAAGGGTCTCCATTTGCCCCACTTCTTTACAATATCTACTGTGACGATCTTTATTATTACATGTACAACAACGAAAATTATTTTGATCATACAAGTTATGTATTATAATATGCAGATGACACGGCCCTAGTGGCCCACAACACTTTACGAAACACAATCAACTTGCTGGAAAACCTAATCAAATTATCTACTCTGTATGGTTCAAAAAATGGCGACTAAAACCAAATCCAATGAAATCCCAATTTATAATATTCAATCATGATCCTTCTCCAACCATAGCCTTTTATCATAATTTATTGTATCCATTATTATCCATATGTATCCATATTTATTGTATGGTTCAAAAAATGGCGACTAAAACCAAATCCAATGAAATCCCAATTTATAATATTCAATCATGATCCTTCTCCAACCATAGCCTTTTATCATAATTTATTGTATCCAGAACCCACCATTACTTATTTAGGTATTACATTCGATACCAAAACAAACTTCAATATTAATTTGCACAACAAAAAGAAGAGTATGATAGACAGAGCTTCACATTTTACTGGCCTAACACACAAAGGAAGAGGAATAAACACTAGTACAGCTAGTAAAATTTACAAAATGATATGCCGCCCAATGATTGAATATGGTCATCCAATATTTCTAAACACTAAACAAAGAGCCCTAAAAATGATCCAAGTCGCAGAAACATCCGCCTTAAGAAAAATTAAAAAAATTCGTAATCCGAATAATCCAATACACAATCCATCAAACAGGTTATTGTACCAACTGACCAACATTGAATCCAAAGACACCCGCATGAACAACCTAACCAAGAAATTTGTACAGAAACCAGGAAACATACAAGAAATATCAAGATCCCAGCATTCAAAACAAACGACATTAGAGAAGATGCGCGATATACAATAAATATATCTTATTAATAAGCAAATTGTTATAATTTTCTTTTTCATTCAATTCATGTTTCTTTATCTGTGATATAAAATATTTATAACCCCATTTGTATGCAGTACAATAGGCAGCAGGACTTCGATCGATAGCCTATTGGACTGAATTTTCAGTTCATTATTATTATTAATACAATTGTGCACCTTTTGAACTAATACCTTTATATTCTATAATTTTAAGGAATAATTAACAATGATAAATCACTAATATATACTTATATCATGCATAATACATTCTTCTGATAAATATGATCAATCTATCCGTGATGCATAGCCATAGGCGTGCCGCACTATCTTTTACATCGTTGGTAATATAAAGATGGTTAAATGGGGAAAAAGTTGTATATTTATTGCCAACTAATACGAAATATTATTTTTATTTAATTTCTTTTATATTTTTATTGTAGTACTTAAGTTCAGACAATTATTGTTAAATATGTTGTAATATCTAAAACCTTAATTTCCACCCTTTCTGTAAAGCACGAACCAAAAGCAATCAACTGTTTATATTGATGAATAAACTTTTTCATTAAAATATTTAGGGAATGATTATTTTATGTTATTAGAGAAGGATTTGATTCGGTAATGATTATTATTAAATAAGGAAACGAAAAACTTTTTTAATAAATAATAGTTGAGAAAGTGTCTTTATGTGTTATAACCCTAGAAAAAATTATAATGGGAGTAAATGAAGAAAATGTTTCAACTCTACAAGGCATATATTACTTTTTTTAACTATTATGTGAAAAATGGCACATTTATACAGGGTGTATAACAATTTTAAATTAATTATTTATTCTTTATATCACTACTATAGCACCAATTACATTAGAAATCAACTGAATTTACGACATTTTGCATGGTTCTGGATCATTTTCCAAATCTTGCGAAATTTTCCCACCTTTGAGCACCGTATTCACTACAGCTCTTGCTAAATAACCTGTAGATCTTACGTACGAAATTTCCAATAAATAAATTATGTTTTCGTCATCCATATCGTTGTCCTAAAAAGTTGAAAACCTTTTAGAAAAAGTCTACCTCTAATTTTTATAAAAAAATTTAGATTAAATTTATCAACAAAAAAAGAAGATAATCAGGCAAAATCTTAAATGAGAGTAGGGAGCCAATAATTTAGTTACCTTAATAGATATTATGCAACCCGTTACAAAATGTTTTATTTTATGTAACTAGTTAATCTTGGCAAGACGAGAAAAATGAACGAACATTTCGTAACGTGTTACATACAATTTTTTATAAAATTATATTTTGGTAAAAAATTACTAACATCTAGGCAACTAATATTACTACTTTCTTGTATTGTTAGTTGCATATGTATAACTTCATTCATTTTATTGACAAATAGTAAATCTTATTAACTCATTCGCAACAACTTGTTGTAGTGTGTTTATATTGCTTGTTAAAGATATTTAGTTTTTAAGAAAGTGGGTTATTGTGTATTGTTTTGATTATTATGTGCATATTTGGAATGAAAAATAAGGACCAAAACAATATTATTACAGTAGGTTGTAAGTTTAACCAAATTCTATTAAGTTAACCTGCCCTTCTTTGCTATAAACTTTCAATAATAATGTACATATTTATTTTAAAACCAAAAAAGGTTTATTTTTATTTGTTTTCTTTTCGCAACTGGTGACATAATACATTTTTCAAACCATTTTCATAATGAAGAGGTTGAGTGGTGTGTAAATACATTACATTCATTTCTCATTTTCATAATGTTCATTTTGACACTTGTTGCGATTTATATGTCAAAATTAGAAAAAATTATTTATTTGTCAAATAAGTAAAATTATTCCTAATAAAATTATCTATAATAGTAATAAAATTACTTCAGAAGAACTTACTTTTGCATAAACATGGGCAGCGTCTCTTACAAGCTGTTCCAAATCTAATGGCTGACTAAAAGTCAATTCAGGATTTCTTCCTAATATTGTAGAAACTATTGTTAGCAGTTCAACTATCAACTGCCTGTAATCGGGTTTTTGGACATGATTCAACATCTGGAAAGTAAAACAAGGATAAAGTACCTTTACATTAAATTGAATTTCCTGTTTATTAAAGAATAACATAAAACTGAGCGACAATATCTAACGAATTTCGTTATTTTTACTGATAATATATTTTTGAAAGAAGGATAAACTGCAGGATAAATTTTCTGCACCTGATTTCCTTGTACTGTTCATTTTTAGGAAACATATTTGTGTTGACAGGAAAATTAAGGAACGTCGAGCAGTATACCGTCTTTTTTTAGAAAACTCACTGGAAAAATTGGGAAAATATTTAATTTATTTTTGCAATTTTCACCAATCGATAGAAAATTTGCGAAAAGGGATAAATCAGGCATAAATAAGTATAGTCCCGCCGGAAAATTCGTTAAAATGATTTATATCTAAAGCAAGACTCAGTAATGAAAATCATAACGAAGTTTAAACAAAAAAATAGACAAACAAGGGAAATATTATTCTCGAGGTTGATGTAGATCTAAGTAAGAAAATCTCTGAATATGGACATTTGAATATTGGTTGAAGGCGGTGCTTAGCAAATGAATATTACAATATTGTCAGATGCTTTAAATGTGGTAGATATGGTCATACCCAATCAACATGCCAGAATAATATAACATGTTACATTTGTGCGAAAGCTCATTACAGCAAAGAATGTAATAATACACTTGAAAAGAAAAGCATCAATTGCCTAGAAACCAACAGAAGGCTAGAAAAAACTTTGAAAACCGACCATTGTTTTACTGATCCTGAATGTCCTTGTTTCAAACGACTTGCTGAGTTAGAAATTAAAAAAACCAAGAAGGCGTAGCAACCAACGGAAGATAAAGAATCCACTAACGATGAAGAAAAAAGTGTGCTTTTTAGTGTGTTTTATCAAAACGTTGAATGCATATCTACTAGTATCAATCAACTAAATGTATATGTTAGCGAACTACAACCTCAATTCGTAGCAGTCAGTGGACATTGGCAAACTGTTCATAGTATTGAGGCATATCCCCTTGAAAATTACAAAATTGCATCATATTTTTGTCGGTCAAACGAAGCTGCTCACGGTGGCGTAATGTTATATTCTCGATGTGATCTCATGCCCACTATAAGAAGTGACATAAATGCTCCGTCAAAAGAGTATATCTTTGAATGTTGTGCTGTTGAATTTGTATTGAACTATCGGCAATATGTATTATGTATCGTTTACAAGCCCCCTACAACTAGCTTAGATATTTTACTAAATTCATTGGACCAAATGTTGGAAATTGCCTCACAAGGAAATAACTACATGCTGGTTGCAGGAAACTTTAATATAGATATGCTAAGTAAATCGAATTTAAAACACCAGACCATGTAAAAAAACATGCTAAACATTTATGATATGAAAGTTAGTATTTGGGAACCAACCAGAGTTACACTGACATCATCTACTTGTATTGATAACATTTATATATCTCAAATTTTAGAATACGGTACAAATGTCCTAAATACAAATCTTTCAGATCATAAAAGTCAGCGGTTATGTGTATTGACTGAGAAACAATAGCCGGAGAATGTAACTGAGGTGAAGCATTTTTTCAGTAAACAAAATTATGATAAATTTTATGAGTTACTACAAAAAGAAACTTGGCTATGTGTGTATGAAGTAATCTCTGTAGATATAATGTATAACTGTTTTATTAAAACTTTCCTTCGACACTTCAACGCATCAAAAGCATAAAAAGAGTAAATGACTGTCCAATTCCATTCGCGAGACAAAAAATACTTTAAATTTATTTTCAGAATTGTACATACAAAGGCTTATTAGTAAAGAAGATTTTAACGCATATAAAAGGTATTACTCTAAACTGCTGCTATCTGAGAAAAAAACATCTTTACAACAAAAAATTCAATGCATCAGATAATAAAATAAAGGCTATTTGGAACGTTATTAATACGGAACTGGGCAGGTCTAATAAAAACTTGGCTACTTTCAATGGAATTAAAGTTGATGACCAAATTGTAACTTCTCCTAAACAAGCCTGCAATAAATTTAATAATTACTTCTAAACAGCTGCTTCGCAAATTCTAGATATGGACAATGTAGATATAAATAGAATACAACAACATAATCCACAATCTATATATCTAGCAGATGTGACAATAGAAGAGCTATCGGAAATAATAAAAAAATTAAAAAAACAAGCTGTCTGCAGGTGAAGATGATATTCATAATGTGCTTATTAAAAATGTTGCTTCATATATTCTTGAGCCTTTATGTTACATAATAAATAATTCCTTTCAGAAAGGTGATTTCCCATCAAAAATAAAATCTGCAGTGGTGAGACCTATTCTAAAAAAAGGAGATCCATTCCTTATGGAAAACTATAGACCTATATATAAGTTTGCTAACCAGCTTCTCAAAAATTTTTGAAATTGCAATGAGTAAACGCCTTACTAAATTTCTTGCTACGAATGGAATTATTACCTCTACTCAACATGGATTCCAAAGAGGAAAATCTACAACTAACAGCAATTTTTTCCTTTGTAGAACGCATTCTACATTACCCTGTTTTTTATAAAAGTTTTTCAGGGAATACAGACAGAAGTAAAATCAGACAAAAACTCAACAAAATTCAATTATCGCTCTAGCTAAAGAACCTAAATTGGCATATTATGTTTATTTTTAACAAGGAGATGCTACTTAAATCATAATAGTAACATATAATATGGTTACATAGGCCCATTCATCGGTCATGACTTCGCCAGAGGTCACAACAGGAGCGGAACACTTCCAGTTTTTCGCGAGAAGATATCCAACTGTGACATATTGTAATTTATATTATATGAATAAAATATTTTGTATATATGTAAATAAAGACTTTCTAAATACGAATACGCATTCTACATCACCTAGATAATGGCTGTATTGTGCATGGTGTATTTATAGACTTGTCAAAAGCCTTTGATTGTGTAAACCACCAATTACTATTAAAAAAATTATACGTTATCGGCGTACGTGGAATTGCATATGATTGGTTTAAATCATATCTGAATGCAAGGTCTCAAAAAGTCTGTCTGAAAACAAATAGTGAACTTTTTTTCTCAGAACAAGAATCGATACATATGGGTGTACCACAAGGAAGTATTTTAGGTCCTTTGCTATTCCTTCTCTACATTAATGACCTATCAAATGTGATAGACTTGTCTTCTGTAACACTAACAAATTATGCAGATGATACTAACATTTTAATAGCCAGTACCGATTATGAACGTCTGAAACAAGATACCATGCATCAATAACGATAGAGTGGTTTCTAAAAAATTTCTGAGTATTAAATATATCCAAAACAAATTGTATCCTGTTTAAACACAGCAGAAATAAGAACGATTATGAAAATGCTATAAATCTAAACAACACAGAAATTAATTATGTGAGCTCTGCAAAATTTCTTGGTGTGATAGTAGATGAGAATTTGGGATGGTTTTGTCATGTGGACAATCTCTGTGGTAGGCTTAGTAAGAGTTGCTTTGCTCTGAAAGAATTAGCTAAAGTTGTAAACCAAAACACTTTGAGATCTGCCTATTTCGGACACTTTTATTCCATTATGTGTTACGGAATCATCTTCTGGGGTGGTTCTCACAATTACGAAGTCTTTGTGATACAAAAAAGAGTATTGAGAATATTAACTGGGTTGAACTTTAGAGATTCCTGTCAAGGGTTTTTTCGACAATCAAATCTGATGACGGTGGTTGGGGCATATGTATATTTTTGTGTAAATTTTGTAATTGAAAATCAGGTTTACAGAAAAAGGATGCTATTTTAAATGCATACAATTTTATAATATGTTTCCACGCTATATAAAAAATATTAAAAATGTAGGCAGATTTAAGTCAAACATTAGAAATATCTTAATTGATATTGAGCCCTACTCACTAGATGATGTTACAATCTTAAATATTTCAAATTCATGTAATAAGTTAGGGTTAGAAATAAGATAGGATCGTTTTTAGCTGTTTAGTAGTTTAGTTTTTTTCTTCTTTTTCTACCTATCAGTATTAATTTTGTATGATTGATGTAATTACCAATTGTAAATTATGGCACTATGGGTTTTGCTAGGTTTTCCTCTAGTCTTTGTAAATACGCCATTCTTACTCGGTAAGTTGACCTAGCTCGCACATTAATAATTAATTATTAATAACAATATTACATCTTGCAGTTGGTATTTTTGTATCATCTATTTTAATTTTTAGCTTCATCTTTATGTAGTATTTAGTTATGGATATTGACGTGTACGACACAATACACTTTGTATATTGTCCCTAGTACAAAATAAAAAGAATTTATATACCTCTTCAACAAGTAGAGAAAACGTCAATTCAGACCTCGTCATATTGGATAAGGTTGGCTGTTGCGGTATTAGATTTCCTGCTACTTTTACGCCCTCTGGCGTGCGTGTCATGACATCCCAAACTTGATTGTAAAATGAAGATGGAACTCTGCATAAACAACCTTCCAGCTGACGTTTTTGACGAGGGGTTAGCCTACAAATTGGATGTTTTTTTATTTTCTATGAAACAACCAAAAGAGAGATTATTATTAATGAAAAAAAAAAACTACTTACTGTTCTTTATTACCCCAATCTTTAATCGACAAAACTTTATACAGTAACTGTCTGACTTCATAAGGACTATGATCTTCGATTTTCTTGTCGAAACCAAATATTTTTAAATAATGTTTAATGGCTTCTAAAACCCATCCGATTCTTATTTTTAGAATTCCTTTGAACAATTCTGGATTTGTCGAAATCAAACGACCACAATATAAGATAATTTCTTGTTGTAATACAGCTTGGATGACATCGTAAGGTTGTATTGTGTTGTAAACAACTGACTGTATTTCTGCTGGGGTCATAGGTTTGTCAAAAACAGTTTCTTTTTGTCCTATGACTCCCACTGTTAACTAAAACATATAAATTAAATAACTTAAATAATAATCAAACCACTTTAATATTCAGTCAGTTAGTTTTCTGATTTCTGACTCATGGAGGTACTGTAAAAAAATTGTTACAATTTAAAAAAATCAATTTGGTAAAAGATATTTCTGAGGGTGAACATTTTGAATGTTGTGGAATTTTCTTTAATTCAAAAAACAATTTTTTTGTCTTGAATGTATATAAATCTCCTAGTGGTAATTTAGAGCTATTTATAAACAAATTGTATATAGTCTTAAGGACAGAGTCTCCAAAGGATTTGCGGTCGAATTCTGTACTGCGGGACTGCCTAACAAGTAGTGCCTGTAGTCAAATATTTGGTAAAATAATCTAATCGCCAAAATGAATTGGCGATCCGTTGAATTTGTTATTTGCTACTCACGGGGTTCTTAGCGTAGAATAATTTCTATCTGGATACGGAAACAAGGGAAAATCAATATATTAGTAGGTACCAAAAAAAAAAAATAATATAGTTAAATAATTTATTTTATTTAAATAGTAATTACAAAACAAGTAATTATATAATTATATATTTTTAAAAATTTTTAAAAACGAGTTTTTTTGTATTTATTAATTCTATATTCCTACATACTGATTGCTAGATCCATGTTTTCAAAAAAAGATAAATTTCATTTTTTTAAATACGGAGAAAATTTATAATCACCTATAATTAAATAACCGATTTTTGCTTTAACTGAAACCGAAATATTTAGATTTATAAAAATGATGTATATAAATTAATACCATTAATAAAGGAATGGGCAGAGCTTGGGAGTTTGGATTCGGCGATTCAGGTTTAAATCCCATAGTATTTGATGGCGTATATCGTTGACACCTCCGGAAATAAATATTTACCTCTTATGTTGATTTTTTACTCACCTTCTACGATTGTTTTTCAAAATGATCAGTATAGTGTTTTAGTAGTCACAAATATCATATAGAAAGCCAAATCAAAAATTTTAATATTTATGATTGTCAGCAAAATTACAATGATTACATGATTGATAATAATTTCTGAATTACTTGAAATGTCATTGAAAAAATTACCTGTTTTCCATGTACCAAAAGGGCAGTAATGAATGGACTAATCGAATCGACGTTATGATTTAACAAACTGCTAGTGTACCTAACAGCTGCCCAGTGTCTCAAACATCCTGCTTGATGGTACAATTTTTGAAGATGTTCTTCGACAGTATGCTTTCCAACTTGGTAATCTCTACCTTCCCTCTTCAATAAGACTCCAAAGAGTTGACATTTGGCGTAAGTACTATCTAATGCATTTAGAATTTTGACTATTTCAATGGTCGAACTGCTTAAAAATTGCTACAAAATAAAGTCAAATGGAATAATTTATGATCCTTGTTTCATGCACTATTTTTTATTTGAAATTTTTATATAGAAATGCAACATGTCATTATGAAGTGGTCAACGTAATAATGAATTATTACTTACAGTAAAATCTTTGGCATCATCTTGAAAATTAAGAATTCGAGGAACATCTGTCAAACTTTGATATCCGATATAATCATGTTCCAATTGTTGAAAAAGGGAATAGTTTTCGTCTTGATTCTCTAAATTATTCATGAAATCTAAATGTTCTGCAATAAAAATAACGTGTCATAAATAATTAATAATAATTTGATTTTTTTGATCTTTAGCAGAAAAATTGTAAATTTGAAAGCATAATAAATAAATTTTTATCGTTGTTGTATTAAGTTTACACAATGCGCTTGTTTTAAAATATTTTAATTAGAATTGTAACTGTAGTTATTAAAATATATATTTTTTAAATATTTACAAAAAAAGTAATGCTAGACGCTTATGCTGGTCGCAAATCATTTTCATTTTTCTCATAAACTATCATAATTATAAATCGTTACTTATTTTTGTGTTCTTTCAATTTTTGAATTAAAAAAAATGATTGTGAACAAACCCATTGCATTTTATGCATATTAATGTCAGTATTTAAAATTTTACTACATCAAATAAAATCTTACCAACGCAAGAACTAGAAATAAGATTCTGCAATCTTCCTATCCTAACTTTAACGCTGTCACAATAACCTTTCTTCAGCATAGCCAATAAGTCAAGCATTTCTTTAAATTGCGGATCTCTCATATGTTCTTCCCTTATCAATAGGCACACTGTAGGTCTGCCAGAGAGTCGCCAATATTTTCCAACAAATTGCAATTCAGTCTTTATATCATCAATCAAAAGTGCCATATCTCTAAACATAGACAAATTTGTAAACTTGGTTTTATCAAAATATACCGGGTGTTCAAATTAAAGTGTTACAGTCAAATACCGCCGAAAATATGCATTTTAGAAAAAAAAGGTTTCAGACAAAAGTTTTATAGTTTTTTGGGGGAAACATTTTGGCTAAATTCATTTTTTTGTAGCTGACCATAATATGGCCATATCGAGGTGGACTTTGTTTTTTTAAATGGGAATCCCATTTTTTTCTTACATATTCTTAAAGTACATAAAAAAATAAGAAACTTTTGAGGGAAATATTTTTTTTATTGGACTTTTACTTTTTGAGTAACAGCTACTTGAAAATGTTGCTGCGCGAAAAAAAAGTTGGCCATATTATGGTTAGCTAAAAAAACGATTTTAGCCAAAAGTTTTTCCCCACAAAACTATAAAACTTTCGTCTGAAACGTTTTTTTTTATAAAAAGCGGTATATAGCTGTAACGCTTTAAGTTGAACACCCGATATATTACAACTTACCTATAAAGATAAAAATCGGACACTTCAAATATAAGGGGATAACATAAAACTGTCGCTCCTGCAATACGATAGACTTTGCTAGTGCCTAGACTGCCCACGGGTCTTAAAGGTCTTCCTTTCAAGCCCAACTTATGATTTACTCCAAGATTTTCATAGACTTTGACGAGTTGAGTTGATGACCAAATTTGAACGGGTTCTACCTCATGAGGAGTTTGCGTCTGAATGCCGTAAGTCGCCATCATCGCCTGAAGTCTCATAGATTCGGCTATCAGGACTATTTGGACCACCAAATCTGTCGCAGTACCCTAGCAAAAGTTATCATGGTCATTTTAGGATTAACATGTTTCAGTTTCTATTTAAATCTAAGGTGGATTTTATATTTTTTTGAGATTATGAGTGGTGACATGTAATTTTTATCATTTAAAGCAGCAATGTCAAATTATCTTGTATGAAAAAATCGCGGAGATAGAAAAATTTATAATCAGTTTATTATAAAATAAACATAAATGTCATTAGACTGTATTCACTGTTTTACTGATCATAGGGGACTTTCATACATTCATCTATAATAACATACGTAATGCATCAACTTCTACTTGTTTAGATGCATCAACCACGACCTTTACCAAACCCGAACAGAATAGAGATATATATGATCGGTAAAGCCGTAGCTATATCTGCTAAAGATTGTGTTTTCAAAATACAATGTGAATCTTAAGTTAATACTCTTTTAACTCTATACAAACATCTTCAAATAACTTTTTCAAAAAACTAAAAATAAGATACGGTATTAAAAAATCTAAATCCGGGCCTGCACTTGTGTATGAAAAGTTACTCTAAATAATAAATCTGTTTTTCTATAATTTTTTTCTGTTTCTCTTATGAATCACGATTCGATTATGTACAGTTTGTTACAATTTAGTAGAGTGTGATCTTAGTAGCGTATTTATTTGAATTAGTGAAATAAAATTGTTGTTTTAAAAAAATGTTATCGAGAAAGATCCAACAAGTACGCGGATGATTGCAGATCAAGTAGGATTAAGTCAAAGAAAAGTGTGGACGACATTGCGGGAAAATCAATATTGTATCCCTTTTACGTTCAACGTGTCTGTAGCATGTTAGACTTATAAGACTTTTAGTTATAATGTATAGTTAGAGTTTAGTCATTGTATGTGGTAACTATAGATTCATAAAATAATTTTGAAAGATTAGAATATTGTCAAATAAAAAGAAAAATATTAATTTGTACGTCCATCAATTAATAATATCAATATCACAACGAAGATATTTGTGGGATAAGGAACATCATACCCCCACAGTGTCCAAGCTATACAACTTGAAGATTCTCCCGCAGAGTTCAATTTTATGAAAGGTTCTTACAATGGCATAAATGTGATGAACACTACTATGAAAGACCCTCGCTATTACTGCAGGACCTGTATAAAGAGTATTATAAATTTATCTTGTTGTCTCCTAAAATTCAGTGAAGTGCGGCGCTATTTATCTTAAAATGCCCTGTTTAGGAACAAAAAAACTACAAGCCATGCAAAAACTGTGAAAATTAAAGCGTTAGTAAATTAAAAAAATATATAAAACTCGAGTACATATTTACAAAACAGTTTTAACTAATACTAATCAAAATGGAACCTTTGGTAGAATTTATAATATAAAAGGTATTTATAAAACATTACAAACCGGTTTTTTAATACCCACCCCAAAGCTGTAGCCACTAATCTATTCCCACTCATCTGCTTTTTTATTTTTGTTTTAATTTTCTTTTAACTAATTTGTTTAGTGAAATATATAACGATTAAGAAAAAAAACCGATTTATACATTTTGTATTAGTCAGTTTTAATATGGTTAAGAGTTGTGTTATAAATATCTACTTACAAAACTCGATTTTGCCTATTAGTTGAGCATGGAAAAATAAAAAGTTATAAACTACAGTTTAGCAAATTTAAATTAGCAACATACAGTTGACTATATGTCCAAAAACCATAAAACTATTGATCTCTAAAATTAAAGCGGCCCAACGAAAACTTGACATGGGGGTTTTGGGTATTAATATCGTAAATGTTAGTTTGGGGAAAGACGTATTTTTTAACATATCCTCCACTGTCATATGTCATTCCTTTTCACTCTGTCATTTTAACCAAAATAATTTAAATAGGAAAGTACATATAAGCAGTGTTGCCAATTAGCCGCAAAAAGCGCAACTTTTGCGCTTTCTGTCTATGTGTTGAGATGTTATTGCGCCCCCCACTTGTTTGCGCCTTTTTTGCGATTTTTACCTGCAAAGGTGACTGGTAATGACATTTTATATTATTTCTCATTTTTACTCTTATAAATAACGAATTTTGATACACAAAACAGACAAATACACTTATATGTCAAAAACGTATTGAATATAGAATGATTACTTATGAATTATCATAAAACATTATCCTCTATTTTCTCTTACTATACGGAGATTGGTCTCACTGCGCAGTTTTCTGAGTGCCTTTTAAAAGGCCATTTTGAACACTTATTACGTGTTGCCTACATCTTGGCGCAATAGTTTTAATGGTTATGTTATAATATTTACCCAAAGTCAGTCCTAGACATGGGTAACGCACTAAAATTCTTTGCGTTGATACACTAACTCCGGCGCACTCTATTGCGCCAACTCATTGCGTTAACGCAATTGCGTTATTGCGTCACACCACTGCCTGCGCCGAATGAAGTCGATACACCTCGGTGTATCGCATGATACCGGTGTTATTCAGCGCGGGCTGTCCTTTTATAAGGGTCAAACCGTGTTCAAGACAATAACGCAATTGGGAATTTAACTAAATTTTTTTTTATTATGTTTAAAAATAAACGAAAATATAACAGTGTAATGCACCCATTTTTTTATTTCATTGTGTTCGGATTTTACAAAGAATACCATAATTCCAATTTATATAAAAAGGATATAACTTTTGTATAGGTACTAGTAGCCAATCAAAATGGGAAGAACTAAAAACTGACCGTGTACAAGGTTAAAATCCATAAAATTGGACCTACAATCCTACAAATGATGTGACATGTTGCAAAGAACATAATTACTTGATAGAATTTGGGTAATCTGCATTACGAGTTGCATCAATTACGTAAATTAAAATTCTCAACTCATCACGGAAAACGGAATCAGTGCCTGGCGCTTGGCGCATCAACAACTCGCGATCCTTTCGACTCAGTATCGAAAATTGCGTTGCGCTGATACAGTAACAGCTGGTGTATCAACGCTCGTAACGCATACAACTGCGTTAACGCAATAACGCAACGCAGCGCTGCGTTACCCATGTCTAGTCAGTCCCCAAAGATATTATTTACGAACCTACACTTTATAAAACCATTAAAAAAATAATGAATATCTTGAAAACCTTGCTTTACTTGGTGATTTTATGTTAAATCTTTCCACTTGTAAGTAACAATAACTACTTTAATTATGTTCCTATTGTTGTATTCTAAATGCTTTTTATGTTTCAGGTCTAAGAGGACTTAACTTGAACAGTGTTTACAAACCATTTATCAAATTGTTTAGAAATTATTTTTAGCTAAACTCTGTTGTCTGTTCTCAGCATTTTGAGGAAAATGCTTATTGCTCTTGTGTACAAAGGTATGTGATCAATCATGAAACAATTCTTTGTAGAAAGAAAATACCAAGAAAATTGAAGCATTTACTTCAAGTATTAAAATCAAACGAAATAATATAAACATGTAAGTAATATTGTTTACTTTTTGGAACATTTATATTATAATAATTGTTTTTATTTATTTCAGGTTTACTACCTCTGGCTCATCTACACACCTGAAAGTAGAAGTAACCCACAGCATCAGTAAGAAAATAGCCCCCTCTGCTAAATAGTTTATCTGGAACAGTTAGAAAATGACCTATAATATTAAATTTTTTATTTGGTACAGTAAACTGTGTAACAATTTCGGATAAATGGAAATTTTCGAGAAGCAAAAGTACCACTGATTCAGGTACATTGATTTTGTACGTTAGACATACACAGGAATCATAAAAGTAACAAAAACGTCTTTTAGAGACACCATATGTCAGCCTCCTTTTTACAATATTAAGTCGACAGGCTAAGAAAAGCATAGCTAGACCATCGATTGATATAGAAGCAACTGACAATCTAATGTTAATACAATTAACAAACTTGTGTAATCTTTGAAAACGAGAATATTGGTGGAGGTAGTGGCAGTAATACCCATAGGGGTATTTTCTTGACTAGAAAATATTTAGCAATTTCTTACTATCCAACAACTGAAAGAAGACTTATTTGTAGGTGAACCATACATCTGTTTTAGATAAAAATTTAACTACATATAACTAATTTAAAAACAAATAACTGTTATACAAATTCAACGTGTCTGTCTCAGATAAATTATAACTAATCTATCTTTTGCAGCTTGGCTGCAATAATATATTCCTCTGGTAATATCTTTTAGTTACAGCTTCTTTAATCTCACATTTTTTTGTTTTTACTTTATAATTTCGTAATATTTTTACAGCTGAAAAAATGCAAAACATAATATTAGATTGTTTAGCCCCACAGATTTTTATTACATTACAAAAATAAAATGTTTGTTCATGGGCATGGGACTGGCGAAAAATATCATAATATTACGGTAAAATCATTTGCACAGCTTTAGAAATAATTTAAAACCACTCACATCTATTTCAAGAATCACCCGGAATTATAACTTTACTTCAAAGAAGTTTTTTGTATATAATTTAAAATAAATAAACGTTTTTTCTACACTTGTTGCCCTCAATTAAAATCTCAAAATACCAAGATGTAGGCTACCAGTTCAACATTTTGGAAAAATGTGTTGCCTAACCTAGTAGTAATTACATCAAAATAGCCGCGCCCTATGTTGGGTGTGTCGGGATGCCTCTCTTGCACCGTATAGTCAAAGAGTATAGTTAACACAAGAGATCGCACTTAAATGTCAATAGATCTGAAAGTCTGTGACCTTGAAAATTCAAAATATTTTACGCAGATAAAATATATCTAATCTAGTATAACCTAGTTTTCTATTAATTTCTCTTTTTTGTCTAAACATTTATTTGTAATCGAATTTTGTTATAGATCTGTATTTTTTAATACATTAATCAATTTTCTAGATGTTATTTTTCTCATGTGACAGCAACCAATGTTCTGATTGGTGACGCCAGACTTGTCAAAAATACTCCAGACCAATAGGGGAGAGGCATCGAGATTAACATTATTTTAAAAACCAAAAAAACATAAATTTTGTAATAACCACACTAATTTTGTCTTAAAGTGGCTTAAAACCTGAATAGTTTTTACTTTTAGATGTAGTTTTTCTCATGTGTCAGCAACCAACGTGCTAATTGGTGGCCCCAGACTTGTCAACAATACCCCCAGACCAATAGGGAAGCAGTACCGAGGTCATTGAGATTTGAGCCAGAATTTAACATGGGAAATATAGGGAGTGACAGGCCTGTGGTATAAGGTCTTTTTCTTTGCATCGAAAGTCTAGCACTGAGCTACACCACTTCTGAAAATATCGTTCCATTTATACAAATTGTATGGATGGAACGACATTTTCAGAAGTAACGTAGCTCAGTGCTACACTGTCGATGCAAAGGAAAAGACCTATTGTAACCAAAGTATGTGCATCAGACCCACCGGTTTGCAATATCAATACCCGCACAGGCCTTGTAGAACACTCGACTCTAATGATATATATTCTGGAGTAACCCCATTAATATAAACTTGCTGCCTATATATATTTTAGGAAATTCTTCACGAATGAAGAAGCATTTTTAGAAAATCCTATATAATTTAGCATATTAATTATTAAATCATGATTTATGGTATCAAATGCTTGACAGAAAGAAATCTAACATAACTAGTATTGTGTATTTGCCCTGATCTGTGGCTTTAAAAATGTCATCTATAATGTAGAGTAATGCAGTAGTGCAACTAAAACCTTTGTAGAAACCTGACTACGAAGGAAGAAATGAATGTTTATGCAAATAATATTTAATTTGTGTTTTTAGGGCTCTTGCTAACTTTTATTTTTTTTATAGAGCAGGTAAAATACTTATTGGGTCTAAATCTTTGAATTCGGTTATGTAGTTTTTTTTTTGTTTGTTTTAATTTTAATTAAATTTGCATTTAACTCTTTACATCCTACAGCATTCGTGTTGAAAGCACAAAAATAGGTCATTAACTTTATGAAAAATAATATTAAAATCTAGAAGGTGAGTTCAGAAGGCGAGTTCGGATAGTCAGGGGCTGGAGCGGGACAAATTTTAGGGTGCTTTTAAATGACATTTAAGCGTGTTAAACTGTCACTAACCGAACGCTAAAAGGGTCGTTTGGAGTTAAAAGTGTTAAAGGAGTTAAAGGAACTTGGCAGACCGAACGCAATGAGACAGACACGTTCCATTCATTCCTTTAACTCTTTTAACTCCAAACAAACCTTTTAGCGTTCGATTTAGCCCGATTAGTGACAGTTCAACACGCTTAAATGTCATTTAAAAGCACCCAAAAAAACTCCGCTCCTGTCCCGTTCCAGCCCCTGGCCAAACCGAACGCTACTACTATTGATACCAAAAACTCTTAAGTAAAGTTTTCATTGGACCACCTTGTATATACATATAATAATAAAAATAGAGATAAGAGAAATATAGAATTTATATTATTGCTTTAGTATATTTTTTACTTAATTCTTATGAAATTATAGTCATATTTTTATTTTTCGAAAAGTTTTAGAACTGACTAGTTTTAAATAAAGCAAATTTTGATATATTTTAAAACAGAATAAAAAGTTATCAAAGGGGTAAATATATATTTTTTTTTTACCTGAAATGCTGAATACCTTCCGCCTTTTTTTGGACGATTATATGACGGCAAGTATCTACGAATTGGATCAAGTTCATTGATATGCAAAAGACCTGCAGTTAAAAGTTGAGCTAATATGAACATCGATTGATTCCATAAAAATAGCCCTCCATCTGTGTCAGCTTTTTTAACAGTTGAATTTGGTTGATGTCGTTCCATCTCAACATTTTCTTTAGTAACATAATAGGACATTGGAATCACAGGATCTAAAAAATATTTTCATAGCTTTTACAAAATGTGGATTACACTATTTAATATATACCTCCATGATGATCTAACATTATTCTTTCTTTTAACAAATTTTGGTATTCCTGAATTTGATCTGGGAGAGTTTTGAAACACCCATCTATTATCATGAATATATAAAAGAGTGGCCACTCACACTCTATATTTTCGAAATTTTTTAATTCGCCCTTTTCATAAAACCTTAAAAAGAACACTAATGAAATAACATTATTTTCAAACGTTAAGATAATAATTTACCTTCTTCCAGGGTCTTCAATTTCAGTTTTAAAACCATCCCTTATATACCTTTTAAAACCATATTTTCCTTTTAAACTATCTACTATATTTCTTTTTGTTTCCTGATACAACATTTCTTCGTGAGTTGAAAATGCAGGAAATGATATTGTTGGAAGCAGCGAAGCATCAACATCCTTAAACCATTTTTTTCGTGATAAATATTAAACATGAAAATAGATTTATTCTTATAAATAAAATACCTTTGAGCAAGATTCCCTGGGCAACAATGTTTCAAAAATACTTCTGTTTCTATTATGTGCGTCAATATCTACATATACAACACTCCACGAAGCACCTTTTTCTCCAAACAAGTTACATCCATTTATTGCTTCCAGAGCTGATTTTGCAAGTCCTATGGAACTAGCATGGATTTCTGGAGTCCCATCGTTATACTTACTTCCTCTCTCCCACATTCCATAGTCTGGAGTTCGGTAGGCTCTTTCCACGTAATAAACTAGATTTTGAACAAATGCCACTTCATCCTAAAGTAAATTTTAAGTAACAATCAAAAATTAAAAAACACTTAATATAGTGCCCATAAACGATATAAGAGCAGAAAATAGAGGGACAATGCGAAATAAACTTAACCGGGCAAATAAGAATGATTTGATTTATACTTAATACAGCAGTAAGTTATCTATATAAGTAATAAATTATGTATTAAGCAATTAATAAAAAATTATAATGGCCAAATAAGGAAACTTTTACTGGAAATATCAAGTTATTATTCCCACATTTGACATACAAGAAATCCTACTTTGATGAGAATATCAGGGAGCAAAGATTGTAGTTTTGCCAAAGAAGAAGACTCCTTTTGTTGAACCTGAATTATTTTGTGAGTTCAAAAAATGGAATTACTTATATGAAGGTCTGAAAATAAGAAAATTACAAAGAAAACATTTCATAAGTTATTTCGCCTGATCTTCTGAACACACAGTAATCACCGTGTCTTTAAAAATATAATTATTAACGAGTCATGGGGAAGACATGTATAACTCATCTGAAGACAATAACAAATTTAACAGCTTTTATTCGACTTTTTTGTATAATTTCAACAACGCTTTTAGATTTAAAAAATTTAAACCTAAACGACACAAAAATAATGTTTATAACGCGGAACTAAGTGCACTGCATAAGATGCTGTGTGAATTACATAGTATGTACATAACTAATAATAATGATACTATTAGAGATAGATATAAAAAACTCAAAATAATTTATGATAATAAAGTCAAATCAACAAAACTTTCCTATAATAATAAAAGGGTAATTAATGCAAAAAACTCAACAAAAGAATGTTGGAGAATTGTAAATGAGGCAAAAGGAAAATCAGTAAAAAAATTAACCATCGAGATGCTAAATTGTCATTTCTGGTGTACAAAACATACTGAAGCAAGGCTTCAAGATTTTTCTTTAAGCACTCTATTTTTAACTCCAACTGCCCCAAAGGAAATAACAGAAATTATACAGAAAACAACTGTAAAAAATCTGCCGGTATAGATGAAATAGATGGAACAATATTGTGTTTTATTGCTGAAGATATTAGTATACCTATGTCCTACCTTATAAACAAGCCTTTTTTATGTGATGACTATCCTAGTATACTAAAAAAATCAAAATCCATTCCTATATATAAAAATAAAAAATCTATAAATGACATGGCAAACTATAGGAACTTCTGCATTCAAAGTTAACTGGCTAAAGTATTCGAAATGGCCTATAATAACAGGTTCATTAAATTTTTAGAACATAATAGACTACAAAAAACTAAAGATGGTAAACAACTCAAAAAACAAAACACAGTTAAATCAAGGTGCCGCAAGAAGGAAGATATTAGTAGCAATGATGAAGACGAAGAAATAGAATACAGAGAATCAGATAATGAAGGGGAGTTCCTACAGAATATAGTACAAGAAAGGGAAATTCAGGACAGAGAAGAAAACGAATTAAATCAAGAACTAAAGGAAATGAAATGGGTTTTAGTAAAGTACACGTCAAAGAAGAACACGAAGCACTATGTTAGCCGTGTAACACGACGTGTGGAAGATGAATGGGAAGTAACATTATTAAAACGAATTTCAACTAAACGACAAGATACGATAAGATTTGATTGGCCTCCTGCAGACGATATTGACACGGTAAACGAAGCAGATATTGATTTGACTTTGCCAAAACCACTTGAAGATAGAAGAGGGTAACTGTATTTTAATATCTTGTTTGATGGATTTAATATTTAAAATGGTTCTTCTGTAACTTGAATAGAGTAACTTTTTTGTTTTATGTCTTACAATTTAAACTACTTATTTAGTTATTTCATGTCAAAATTTTAGTTAACACCTCAAGATGTATATGTTAATTTTATAAATATTTCGGTGTTTTACTTGAGGTTTAGCTGCTAAAATGTTTAATAAATCAGCTTTTTTAGGTTGCATTTGGAAGGGTTGCTATTTTTTAAGGAAAAGAGTTTGTTGGAGGTTTTTCTGTCGTTTATGTAATAAATTTTCAATTTTTCTCTCTAATTATGTGTTTTAATAAATGCCACTTCTTTACACGTATTTTTTGAAATGCTTGTTGCTTTCTTAAATATAAATAATTTTTGCACAAAATTTTTCGTAATATATATTTCTTTTACATTTACAACGTTTATCCGCACCTGAAGCTCAGGTGTTACATTTACCCCTTTTTCAGGGGCAAATGTAACATGTTGACATCATTTTAAAAAATATATTCTAAAAACAAAACAGAGACACATTGAATAAATATACTGCTATAAATATATTTATAGATAGTTATACTTAACAAGGAAAAATTGGCAGATTTTATCCTTAATGTTCAATATTTTTAAGATACCTATGAAATGTAACTATTCGAAAAACCTGTTTCATTTACCCCACCTAACCTTAATGTAAAACAATCGGAAATCATGACCTTTGTACCAAAAAATATAACAAACGAAATCAGCTATTTCGTTAAACTAAATCATCAATCATTGATACAAACAAATTCGAGCAATTTCTTAGGTCTAATTCTGGACAGCAAGTTAACGTGGGAGAACCATGTAGATCATGTTATTATGTTACTCCCTCGTCTGATAGGGGGTGAAATTTTATATAAGCTAGCTCAGGTTATATATTTCATCCGGAGAGTTGGGACGTGGAAAATTAAATCAGGTAACTCTATTTACAAAAGTTTTTACTAACGTTCTTACCCAAATGACTGTTATGTCTTACTTTACAGGAAATATTATATACAACGTGTCTTTTATACAATCTGGTGTATCACTAAGAATATCAATTAATATTTGGTGAAAAGTATATATTTACTACATGGATCTTAGCCAGAATGATACCCCTCAAGCCCAAGTAGTACTACTTGTTTACAGGGAGAAGGTGAGTACAAATATCCTTTTATTGTAATCTTTATGTAAATTGTTAGATAGTCACTAGAATAAATATTTATGATATATAATAACTCAATATTTGTTTTCCTTTTAAGGTGTGTGTGGTCTTGTGAAAAGCAGCGGGTTTTTGTTAAAGCAGTTAGATAGTGAAATGGAAAGATCTTACTTGCTTTCTCGAAGCCTCCTGGATCTATCGATGGGCCACAGGCAGCACTGCGATATTCCAAATAAATGCCAGAAAGCAGCTACTAAGCAGTTGTATTAAGCCTAGAAGAACCTTGCCATGCGGGTGATATCAATGGAAGGGATAGCAATAATAATATGCTTATATAAGTACTATAATTACTGGAAGTACTGTAATTACTATAAGAATTATATGTATTACACGTATTATACGTATTAGGCCGAATAAGGTAGGGCCTTTTTTTTATTAAGTATCGCCAATCCACTTTGTGTGTAATAAAAAATCGTCCTGATTTTTAAAAGCAATACTTATTTAAATGATTTTGATGTAATTCTTTTTCAGGGGTGGTAGAAAATCCGAAATATTCGTTTTAAATTAAATTAGACCACATGGCCCAGAAACCAACCTCCAAAAGAAAAAGACAGAGAACCCAGAGAGAGATAAAACCTCAGATACCAATAAAATAGATGTATCTGATTAAGATGACTAAACTGCCAATAAATAGGTTAATTATTGACCTAATTAATTAAGTTACACCTTAATAAAGAAGAGAAGAACTATTACAAGGTCATGGTCAAGATTTGACATTAGCATGTAAATAAACAATATACATATGTATAGGTTAATTTTAATAAATGGAAAAAGAACTATAAATCTTGTTGATTATTATTTACAAATTTAGGTGAGTTTTTATTTATTTAATATTCAGTAAACCCCTATAATTATTTCAGTTAATTATCTGTAAGAATAATTTCTGACCCGTAACACACCCCTCTTTCCAGAAGAAAGTTTTTTTTTTCTAAATGAACAAAAAAAAACTTGATAACGCAGCAAACTTACTATCTTAGAGTATGGTCACTTGGGTAAATTAAAAAAAAAAAAAAAAAAAACAACTTATTGCCAATGTACTATACCAAGAACTAAAAGTAAATCAACCATAGATACAATTAACCGCTCTCTACTCATCGGGTGGTTTAGACTTAAGGTCCTTGATGTGCCAAACACCAGCCGTTTTCCCTATTTCATCATCCAACTCATATGTCCATGGCGACACGATCTTTCGTACCGTGTATGGACCTGCAAATTTAGGTGCTAACTTGGAAGTGAAATTTTTGATGGCATCGGAAAGAACATGATTCCTTTTCCAGACAATATCGCCAACCTGAAGTTTATCTTCCCGACGTCGAAGATTGTAAATCTTTTGGCTGCTAGTGTAAGCCTTTTTAAGCCTATCAGAAACATCCCTGAAAAGATCTTGTAATGGTTTGTTGGGGATTGAAATTTCAGTAGACCTATCGATTTGGATGGGATCAGTGGGAGTTGGACCAGATGAACCATCAATATTGAGCTCTCGCCCAAACATGATGAGATTAGGAGTAACTCCGGTCACCTCATGTTTAGCTGATCTCAATGCCCAAGCGACTTTCGGTAGGAACTTATCCCACGTCCTATGATTGTCTTTGACGTACGACGACAACATAGTCTTAAGGACTCTATGTACCCTTTCGACAGGATTTGCCTGCGGATGGTAGTTAGCTGTAAACGAGTGTTCTATCTTATATTGTGTCGTAAATTTTTTAAATAGGTTACTCTTAAACTGAGTTCCGTTATCGGTAAGAATCCTATTCGGAGCACCAAATAGTAAAATGACACGCTCTTCCAAAATTTTTACTATAGTGGAGGCTACCATATTTCTCATTAAAAAAAACAAAGCGAATTTACTAAAACAATCGCTCACTGATAGAATATACGAATTTCCATCAGAGCTTCGGGGAAGTTTTCCCACAATGTCGATACTGAGAAGTTGCCACGGTTTAGAGATAGTGGGTGTCTTACTCAACATAAATCCAGCCGATCTCTTTTGTGATGGTTTTGTCTCCATGCAAATTCTACAGTTA